AGATCAATCTTGGAGTATAATCGGGGTTAAGTATCATCGCAGCCGCAATCGACTGTGATGGACCGACAATTCATGTTCACGTGTCGTAATTGAGTTTTATAATTGTGGCTAAAGCACTATGTTTTTTGTATGTTAGAAATTCGTGTTATTTCGTGTCTTTTATAGATTTGTCGAATGATCTTGTCCAAACGTGCCGATTGATGTTGGAGTCATTGACACTAGCTAGCATATAATAACCAAAGAGCAAGTATGGTAGACTTAAACCATGACTTAGCTTGAATCAATCGTTCATGTTAAATAATTATTTCAGGGGAGGCAAATTCACGCGTATCTATATATATAGATATTTTTTTTTTGGGTCTTACGAAAAACTCAGCTTAGATGAGAAAGTTTTTTGGAGGACAAAAAAGATAACACCTCTGTTCATCTGCACAGGTGAGAAGCAAAATTAGTCTAAGTTAGTACAGGTTTATTTTGCGCCTTAAAAGACCATTAAGTCAGTTCCCATTGCTTCATATTCCCTATCAAGAAGAATTTGAAAAAAATATTAAAAAAAAAAAGCAATGGTGGATTTTGTTGTGGCACGTTAGTAAAATTGGGTGTGCGTTTATTCAGAAGGACGTAATTGCACTTTTTCAAATTTTTAGGACTTGATTACACATTAAGCGAAATGTATATGATTATTGATGCAATTTTCCCTAATATGTAGGTATAGAGGTTACATACCTAAGATGAATTTTGTAAAACTACAAAATATTTTCTCTAGTGAGTCTATTAGCTCGAAATATGCTAAAATAGGAAAATTGTGATTTTTTAGGTAAAAAATGCCCCTTGTACCAGTGTTTTGAAAACCGGACCACTCGATTTCCAATCGAACGGGTCGAATTAGCTAGTCATCCGGCTCATATTATCCTGCTGCTACCGCTGGAATATCAAACTCATTAAAAACTACTTTTGACCAGGTTCATCTGTCAAGTAGGCACCTGATTAAACCGGATCAACAAATTAAAAATCTCCATGCACTCGACCAATTAAGTTAGGACTCTTTTTGTCGATATAATGGCAAAACAATATACTTTTTGTCGCATAGTTGCTTTTCTCCAAAATAAAAGAGTGTCTACTTTCATCTCGCCAAAAGGGCATTTGAAGCGAACCTCTACGATCTTCAACAGGCACAACTTTTGCAAATTATGTGTTTTATTTATATACAATACTTTACACATGAATCGTCCGGTTCAACCTTCTGAGCCGGTCGAACTGCGTACGGTTGGCTTGTCCGATATAGCCACTGGTACGGTTTTCAAAACATTACCTCAAACTCGAATTGCTTCCACAATTCTCTTTCTATCATTATGTTCAATATCTTAAACTCTTCAATAGTCACTTTTGCATCCCTTGGGAGTTAATTAACACCCGAAGTAATCTCAATTGAATTGATAAGGTGATTCACAGGTTGCACCTCAAAAAGTGTATGGTCATATTTTATTCTTGCACTTTTCAAAACACGTCGAGAAATCGCAAAAATTTTTCTTTGTCAAAGTTACCATAAAAACCCTTGTCATCATTTCAATACCATTATATTATGCCGCTTTGCCTTTTCTATATTTGACTATGCAAAGCTTGAATGCTGTATTTTCACGTTAAAACCCAAATTGCATCCCGCATCAGTCAACGTCTTAGACTTATTTAACAAATCGTCACTTTTCTCTCGAAATTCCCCTTGTCTGTAAGTTTCCCAACCCTCCGACATCCATCCCATGAACGAGACGACATCTTAATACACGAAACTCGATTGGTTGACCAAGTCTCTTGATCTCAAGATACAGAGAGTAACCTTGTGAGAGTAGGTGAAATTGTAGCCTATAGAGGGCGCGGAGGCCCTCGCCCAAACCTCGCCGGACACCGGTCCATGGTCGGAAAAAAAAAAGGAAGGAAAGCAAAGAAAAGAACAAAAAAAGTAATAAAAATTTCAGAATTTTTTTTTAAAAAATAAAAAAAAATTGTCAACATCAGCATCAATCATATCACATAGGATGTCCGTCGTCCATGTTAACGATTTCCGGTCAAAATTGGTTGGATGGACTATATTGGCAAATCCTAAAAAGGTTTTAGGACTGAATTGACACAAATGCAATATGTTTAGGATTTTCTTGGTACTTTTTCCTATTATTTTCACAATTAGTATTTTATCTGGACATGTTAGCATATTCTACGCCAACTAATCGAAAAATGAAAATCCGGATTTGCCTTAAAATCGTAGCCTAGTGTACTTGATAGTGTAATAAATTGAAAGTTACTATTAAATTGATTAATACAATGCCATCAACTATTTTAATCATTTAATGATGAAGTAAATAAACCACCTTAACAAACAGGCTCTGTTCAATTTGTACTTAAATATTTCGTATGGGTTTTTTTTTTTTTTGACCAATGCAAGATCAGTAATCAGCTACTGGGGTTTGCCCCAATGGCCACCCTTCCTACTTGATAAAGGAGAGGTGGGAAGTTCGATTCCCCACTTTCTCAGGAGAGGCTGGGGATGGGGACGTGTAGTTTCAGATGTGAGTTTCAACTCCCACGCTCTATAAGAGCTAGGGCAAAAGTCTGAGAGTGAGTTGAGAGTTAGAGTATAACAGATAAAAAAAAAAATCAGTAATCAACATTACGTTTCAAATGGTCTGTATTTTATCAATTATAAAATAGGAAAGGTTGCCCTAGAACAGGTGTAGTTTGGTTGTTTTTTTGACCAACGTAGCGTCAATACTCAACATTACTTTTCAATGGTCTACATTTCTTATCAATATGACCATACGAATAGCTGCCCTAGAAAAAGTATGCTTTGGTTCAGATAGAGCTTTTCCCCGGTTGTAATTGTAACTCGAAATGGCGCATGTAGCTGAAAGTTGTATGCCACATTTCTTGTCTAGGAGTCATTAATTATGTGCCTCATTTCTACTTAGGCCCGCTGCCAACATGATATTGTCCACTTTGATTATGAGCTCAATTGCACTCGCACGGCTTTGAAACAAGTCATGCTATGTTAAGATTGCGCAAAATTTATTTACCACTATAACAACGCAGACATGATCGTTGTAGCTTCAGAGACCATTTTAAAATCGAACATTCTATATCCTGAATCCGATACTACTTAAGGTAGGTAAGGACTATTCTGCCTACTGCCAGCATAATATTGTCCGCTCTAGCCATGGCTCACTCAGGCCCAAATGGCTTTAGAACTCGTGCTAGTTTATGATTATGTGAAATTTATCTATCACCGCAACAGCCCAAATCCATCCGATGTCGATGCCATGTCGAATCATTGACATAGTTGAAACTCAACATCTAGAGAGTCGTCTTGGTCCACTTTATTATAAATCTTATGCAAGCTTACACTTTCCTCTAACTTGCATGTTTAGGGTTTGCTTCAATTGCTTTATTATCACCTTGGGTTCCAATATAATAACACTAATAATATTAATAAGCAGTATCGGTTAAGCAGTTTCCCCATATGCTCCAAACTACAAACTTAGAAAATTAAATAGTTACCTGGGTGGAACTATTTCCATACCCTTTTGCCTAAATCACACCCTTTATAAGTTAACATTTGTTAACTCTCTCTCTCTCTCTCTCTCTCTCTCTCTCTCTCTCTCCTTTACATACCATATTTTTGCGAAGTTTCCAAAAGAATTAATTAGCTTGTCTATGGCATCCTTTTGAATCACAACGTCATGTGAACTAGTATTAATAAAAGATATCTTTTTGAGCAAAACCATGTTTAAACGTCAGTAATTTTCCTCTATTCAATCATGAACTCATTGATTTGTCGACGGTATAATGTTGTAGGTTTGAGTTATCAAAAAATCGTTCATTGTGATTTTATCTAAGATTTACATGATTGTGATGGAGGTTTGAACCTAGTTATAGCTCCTTTGCATTCGAACTCTTATATCATCATAGAAAATCTCATGTTTCATCATAATTTTTTTTTCAAGGTATGGTTCACTTAGTCTACATATACATAATCATCTGGAAACATAGGATTACGAGTACATATGACTTTCTGCATGGTAGAACAAGAAAAAAGAAAAGTTTCGTTTTGATCTTTCTCTTTACTTCCCTTTCATTTTCTTTTTAGCATTGTCAAGTCTTCATGGTCTTAACTTTGGAAGGAACAAACCAATTAAACCATGAAGTGGGTCTCTAGCTAAGTACACACATTCGATGGGTGTTGTTTTTGTCCTTTCAGAGGAATAAATAAATTTCTCTCTTCATGCTAAGTGTAAGAAAGAAAACCAAAGGAAAATTTTAACGAATGTCAGGAGAGGAAAGTAGATATCCTAAAATATAATTAGACACCTCGCAATCTTGCATCTCGCTCATCTCATTGAAACACTTCTTGAGATATTCCTAAATGGGCCATAACCCATTTGGTTTTACGTACGTCGTGACATGAAGACCTTTTGCATCATTGGTAACTTGAGTATTTGTTTCGGCTAAAGGTTAAGAGGAAGGTGAGGCACAAATGCCGGGACGCAAGACCCATTTCGAGGCTAGAAATGGGGCTCGGTCCTAGCTCCACTGAGGCCATGATTCGGGCATGAAGACAAGGATGGAGTATGTAATCCATGACCGCCACACCCCATAACCATTCACCTTGATCACGATCACCGCTGTTAAAAATAAACTGGAGCTGATGCAAAAACGCTTGGAAGTTCAAATGAAACGGTCGCAGCAGCATAGGACTGGCAGGCAATTCCTGGTTGATATAAACTGCAAGGTAACAAACTATGCATGCATTTATCGTATGCAGAACACTGACTCGTACAAGAAGAAATCAAATGGCTTCCCATCAAAATATATCGACATAATTGAGTATGGTGCAAGTGATTATGAATTTGTCAGTTCTTGCCTCTGGGAAATGGCCCTCGACCACCATCTCGCCTAACGACAAAGAAAATGCATGGAAGTATTTTTAATCTTTTACGACTAAGACATAAAAGTAAGCCAAGCTCAGTCCTCGTTAACTAAAGGATAACGAGTGAATCTCTCTTTTTATCGGGTCCAACATTCCAAAGATTGAGCACAGAACAGTACCTTTACATCATTGTCTAGTGGAAATTTAGCGGGTACAAGTCGAATTGCAATACGTGCCATGACAAAACTGTCTGAATCTTCAAGGAATATGATGACCGGCTGAAACACCTCCGAAGAAAACAAGTGAAGGCATTTTGATCGTTTCTGCACAGAACTTTTGAGAATTTTTCATCCTCCACCCTATTTACAAATCCTCTCCTGCCAACTTCCCCCAGTCACACGAAGAATAACTGTACAGAAATTATTTTACACTGTCGTAACAGGAGCAAAGCTATTAGGGAGAGTAAGTAAAGTAACTTCTTCATTGTCTACGTGGGGCATTACTGGTCTTCGCTTTTGTGAAGAGCCATGCCCGACCTTAAATGAATTTGCCTGTTCCTAAGCATATCAATGTAATTACGAAGCCTACATTGGTCTGAGTTAGTGAGGGAGAAACGTGGATTGAGGATAAGCGATGGCGCCTCCACTAGAAGAAAGAGAAACAACTGCACTGCCTTTGAATACAATGATTCTGCAGTTTCTGTATCACCCATAAGTTCATCGACCTGCAATTTGAAACAGCAACATTCACGTACATCAGTCCACACGTACTCTTTGAACTGGTGTCAGACTTTATTGAAAATTTCAAGGCAATTTGATGAGTTTCCGAAAAATACTATATATCTCAGCTAGAGCTAACATTTCAATTTACAACTTTTACATAGTGCAACTGCAATATAACAGTATGTTTGATGATTCATGCGTTGGAAGCAAATTGTTGACTATGCCATGCAACTTAGGCTGCCTTGCAGTTGAATCACATCACATACATCCCCTGCTCTGCAGAGACTTAGTTCAATGTAATGAATCATCAGCTTAATCAAGGCAGAGCATTGACCAATCAATAAGGTTAAGGGCTCTAACCAAGTCATTATGAAAGAAAAAGAGCAATCAGTCATCCAAAGGCATGGCAATTGTATCATTCTGTTCTGGACACTCAACAATGCCATACAGCATCTTTTAGATGGAACATAAGGATAATGCTAGGGGTACCAGAAATTTGAAAAGACTAGCACATAAAAATTAACCGGCCATACATCATTTGATGCAGTTTTCATGATGCAGAGACAAACCAATGATGTATGGCCACCTACGATTTTGTAAATCAACCTTTGAAAACATTTCATAACCGGCATTACACAGTGTTAACACGACTAGTAGATCTGCATCGATGGCCTAAAAAAGGACATTAGTTCAACCACATGATATTAGCAGGCAGGACAAAAAATAAGAAAGAACACTCACACCCCCATGTCTGCCAAGAGCAAGAGCAAATTGAAATATTGCCTCCATCGCATCCGGCATTTCTGTACTTCCTGCAATCATCTTACTTATGTTAAACACTAAAAAAACCAGAAAGATGTACCTCACTTTTTTTGTCACATTCAATTCATAGCAAGATAAAAATGAGGTTGAGTAGTCGCTATTTAGCAGATAAGCAAACCTAATTATGTCCGGGCATACTAAATTACAATGAGTCCTGTTATGTTGAAGTACATTAGTGACTGACAAAGCAAAGAACGTGCATTGGCATAATTTGTCGTCCTGTGTCTTCCCTTCAGTTAGGTCCTTGGGACACTATTGGGAATTAACGAGAATACCAAATGTTTAGAGTTAAAGACCGTTTTCAGAAGTAGAATTCTATGACAAGATCTTTTAAGTCTTTTTATTTTGTTTGATAATCAATACACAGATTGAATAATCAGAATAGAATTTGACTGTGCCATAAAGGAGAAATGATGCAGTAAAGCAACAGTAAAACAAAGAAATGATCCAAATCAGAAGAAAATATAGAGAAGACAGACCTGGTTCAATAACCTTCGCAAGTTCCTCAGCATGCTCCACTTCCCGAAGAAATTCACCCTCAATATGGGCGGAAACCTCTTCTGGCCCTAAAGTATTATAAGCTTCAGTACATACTTCGAAACTGGGAGTACAATGCTTTTTGTCGCAGCTCCTTCTAAATCTCGTAGTCACTGGGCTGGGACTTCCTTCCATAGCAGATGCAGCCTCTGCATGGCATATGTGCAATGCTTGTTTCCATATAGCAAGAATCACAAGCTGGATTGAAAATGCTTCCAAATGCTTTCCAGTCTCCATCTGTTTGTAGATTCAAGACATACTTACTAACACAAAGATGTTGAAGCCTAAAGTTTCACGAATGCAGTTTAATAAATGCTTAAGGCAATATTTCTCTTGTGGGTGTAATCAGTATGAGAGTAATACTAAATCAACAGGTAGCAGATTGTTAAACGCAATCCTGACAACAGTGCATCAGATAACTCAAAGAACTAATAACTTATGAGGTCAAGTGTGGCTGAGTTTTAGTTCCCAGTTGGGTACCAAAATAGGGTAGGTTTCGGTCTCAATCTCAAACCCTGAATTAAAAGGTGCCAAACCCCCATATTTCACAAACCCTCTTATGAAGTCGAAATCTAAGAATCCAGTTCCATTACTTTAATTGATAATTGGGCCCAAGTCCCCGCACATGTGCACAAAACGCTGAAAAGGAGAAGACCCCTTCATTCCCTAACCATTGGAAACTGATAAATACTACAAACTTTTATCCAACTCTGTTGTTATTTATTTTTTAAATTTAGAGTTGCGTTCTTCTATCCTAAAGCCTGGCCATTACCTCAGTCCCCTATTATTTTAAGTAATTGTTTGTTCATCTGAAACAAAATTGGAGGTGTTAGCATCATATTTTATCATTCTATTACTTCCTATAATGACAAGCAAGATCACTCTAGGTTTCAAACTATTTTTTCAGCAAAGAGCAGCACCTTAGGGCTAGACTATGGTTCATGAAATACCTCACTAATCTCATAGACAAGGGGGAGACCTGATCCAATATCTAGATGAATCAAATATAAGATCCTTTGGCTTTGATGATGTGAGAAATCAAGTACCACAATCCTAAGCCACACAACTAAACCAATCCAAAGGGCTTATTATCTGTTTTCCCCTTTTTGTGTAGTTAGAATCCTTGTATTTTATTACTTCTCAATTTAAGTTATGGAGCTTGTTGACATCCTGTGACCCTATTTCTAGCAAGAATTAAATTATATCATCATATATATAAAAAAAAAAAAGTAGATGAGCAAAGATCTAGTTTGTCTGCCCCAAAGATTGAAAAGAGAACAAAAAAAAAGAATATAGGGTATCCTGAATTTGTGTGAAAATTTGCTTAAATTTAATAGAAATTTTGAAAAAATAAAAAGACAACAGTATAGACTTTCCTGTAATTTGCAAGAACTGACATCTTTCCAGAAAGTTTTTATGGGCGATCAGCACAAGAACCATAATCCAAAAAGTTACCATGTTTAAAACTAAACCAGAAGGAGACATTGTACATTTCACCACGAAGTTGGACAAAATCAAAATTTCACTCCACAATCTCCACCATTCTACTACTTAATAGATGCAAACTGATCATGTCGATAGGGTCAATCAAGTACTCATCTACTATAAAAGTCAGAATCCAGGGATCGAGTTGTAACTTGCCTTTTCGTTCACTAATTGCTTGATGATACACGCAAACTGTTGCAATGACGTAATTCTCGTCATACAGTGAGACGATGGCTTTTCTAAGGCATCTACATTATCCATGGATTCAAATGAAGTCCCTCGAGCAATAGTAGGATTTCCAATGCTTCCAGTTCGGTAAATGTTACCCCTACTTAAAAGACCAATTGGCACTGGGGCACTTGATGGGAGAGCCACTTCATGAGATGCCTGAGGTGGACTATCTGATTTGAATGGAAACTGGCTCGTCTTAGAAATATTAAGAGAGGAAGATGAGACATCCAAAGGAGGTCCAGGAACTAGAACATAGTCATCAATCAACTCCATTGAGTCCGCAACTGTGAATTAGAAGATATACTTCAAAGACAATCTTTAGCTTTCATAACTGAAAATAAAGAGAGAAAAGGAACATACCTCTCGAACGAGTGTTCATTGGTCTTTGGTCCAACAAAGAATCATTTGGTTTTGCATCAGAATTACTGTAAGTGTCAGGCCTAAAGCTATCATTCTGCATCTTCATGTTGCTGCTACTACTGTCCCTTGAATTTCGATCTGTGTAACTAAAAGCAGAGGATGGCGATTCTCTCTTATCGATCTTTGGATCAGTTAATCCCTTACTCGACTGTGTCGAGGTCCTCCTATTTGAAACGGATGGACTCCTAACTGAACAATCATCATCGAGAAAAAAGGGAAGACAATCATCATTAACCAATTCCTCTATGTTCTTCATGGGATCAGACTCTGATGAAGGAAAACTATCCATGGTTCCTGAAAACTTCCTACTTCTGCACATTGAAAGAATTTTGTAGTCATGAATAGAAGGTTCTAATGCATAAGGTCTGATGACAAAAGTTTGTCCCTCAAAATTACCTCAAAGAACCATCTGGTTGCTTCTGGAACAGAAATGAGTGGTTGAAGAACTCTTCAAAAGTCAACCGTTCAACTGTAGATTCAAACAAAAATTAATATCGAGGTTTTTTCACTTGAACTCTAGCATCAAATAACCGGCTAAAAACTAAATCAGAGTCCATCGGAAAATAACTAAATATAAAAAGGTCTTCCTGGTTTCCCTTATTAGTTCAATTAAGTATCAAGAGCAATGAATTTTCGCAATTAGCAAAACATAAAATCTAGTTTACAAAAGTCCACAGGTATATGAGAGAGATAGAGAGCCAGTTGGTAGTTTCAACACGCAAATGGCCTCCACCAGGTTTTCAACTACATAGAGTTACGGAATAAACAGGTTTTGTTACAGATAACTGAGGTCCAAGGTCTCCGGGTATCTGAAGTTAAACAATGTAATGAAATTACAGAATAAATGGTTTTGGCAAAGGTATTTCTTTGTACACACAACACCATGTCTAGAAACTTCGGTCACATATTAATGCAAAAACAAATGCCGCATGACATTGCGGTTTGCCATGAGGACCAGGTAAAATATCATATCAGCATCTGCTAAGTCATCAAGAAAATCGACCCTATCTAAGATAGATAACTCCCAATTTTGCTCTCCACTTGTCACTCATTTAACAAAAACAAAGAAGAAAGAAAACCCTAAAGCTCCACACTTGTTTCACGCCAAGCTGAATGCTACTTCTAGACTTCTTTTTTTTTTCCTGGAACTGGAGTTCCAACATCTAATTAGAAGTGTAAGCCCTCTAATTTTCACGAGCTTTTAAGTAAAAAATTATCTAATCAAAACATCCAGATATTACCAGATTATCTCATTCTCAACTAAGCAAAAAGTCACAAAAGGAACCAGAATGCACACAACGCCAATGATGACTTCTAAAATGAGGAATGTCCTCATAAGAATTAGAACAGTTAGTTGCATCCTTTTTCATATTTCATGAGTCACATCACAACTTTTCAACAGTAATCCACGCCTCACAAAGTCCTTAAAACAATGAGGACAAGGGGTTAAAAAAATTTTGGTGGGTTCGTTATTCTTTTCTTATTTGACCATTTAATCATGGTGCTAAATAGTAGCATCTTTCGTTCAAGATATTTTATTCAAGCAGTTTAAAACGTGATAGTCTCACCTACAACAGACTTATCACAATTCACTGAATGGTGGAACTAGTGTGGATCCGTGAAACTGTCGTTGCTGGGCATCTGCTTCCATTTGTGATTCAAAAGGCAATGGTACAAACAAACACTCTTCTCCACATCTATACTTACAGTATAGAAAAAAAAATTGGACAAATTTAACCTACAAATATGTGTTCCTCAACCATATAAGTTAGCTACATGCTCCCAAGTACCTGGATTACGGCGAAGCAACTTCTGGCACAAATCTTTGCAGTCAGAGCTTAGATCCTTACTTTCAGGAGGAAAATGCAACTCTGTCGATTTTATAATGTTCTGAAGCAACTGTACAAAGCATGTAGGGAGAAAGGTTTTAGACAGAAGCTGCAAGTAAGGGGCAATCGCTATGCTACTGGTGCTAGCAAGCATTCAAAAGCACTCTGGCATTAGGCAGTATCAGTTATACCTGTATTTGGTTGCTCCCAGTGAATGGGGTTTTTCCAGTAACAAGCTGAAACAGTATTGCACCAACACTCCAGAGATCTGCCTGCATATTTCATTCAACAAGTATAAGTTTCTTGAAGCAATGTCTGCACTTAAACTGAGAGGAGAAGATGTTACCTTAGCATCATACTTCTGAAGTTGCATGATCTCCGGTGCCATGTAAAGAGGTGAACCACACAAAGTTTCTGCAAGGCCCCTTGGTTGCAATGATCTGCCGATAGAGAATCGTCACATTTTGAGGGAAAACAAAACTTACACAACCAGCCAGTAAAATGAAATTCCACAACCTCAGCACAATCAGATGTGTTAAAAAACACTACTAGACCTACAATCCCAAACAAAATTTGTTGAATTAAAACAGATCAACTCACATGCCCAACTAGTCTAAAAAGGTTTTTTGATGTTGTCAAAAATCAATCGTGTTAAGCCTGAAGTACCAAAGCCCTCGGAAAAATTAACTCAGTACAGGTCCAAATTAAGAAGAAGATAAAGAATAGAAAATACAAGCTGCAAAAAAACACATCATCAAATTAGAATTTTAATATCGACATTCACCTTAGAAGTCAACACCATCAAGATGCACTTTACAGGAAAAATTGTAATCTCGCAAAATAGCATTTGGTAACATGGCGTAGGCCTAGATCGGCAGGTGCAAACACAAGGTTCAGCTCTAGTATTCTGTAGGAGCTATTCCTGAGGATTGTTGAGAACACGGGCTGCACCCATCCAGGTCTAAGATGCTTACATGAAATCAAGTCTCTCTAAATGACTAAAAATAGTCCACGCATAGAGTCACTTAAATAACCCCATGTATTAAACTATCCCGTCCTATAATTAGAAAATTAATTAATTAAACATTAAACATATAGAGAATGAAAATCACATTCAGTGGCAGACGTATTTTCTTTGCCGTCTATCAATGTACGAGAGAGAGAGAGAGAGAGAGAGAGAGAGAGAGAGAGAGAGAGAGAGAGAGAGAGAGAGAGGAGTCCAGTCACCTTGCAAATCCAAAATCTGCAATCTTTAATACAGAACGTTCATCATTGGTAGATAGAAGGAGATTCTGTTCAAAGGGTAATCCATGTTACAGTTTGTTCATCGTCTGAAAAGTATCAGAATGGATGAGACGGAAGAGTATTGGGCAATATGCTATGATTATTTTATCTGTAACCTATAAGGCAGAACGTTCATCATTGATGGATAGAAGATGTTATAATACGTACAAGATCTTATAAGTATCAGACTGGATGAAAAAGAAGAGTAGAAAGCAATATGCTATGATAAATGTTAAGTATAAAAAATTCGCATAGAATTTAATTTTCTCAAGATATCTACTTCGTCCTTTTGGATATTGAGCACTTAAGGACATGTTGGGTGTTGGCATGGTATCAATTTTTACAAATGTATGGATTATTCAGAAGAAAATGGAAGAAACCTAAAATTCTTGGAATTAATGAACGTGCAATTACTGAACCTGTGGTTTCAGATCCCGGTGTATAAGATTATTGGCACGAAGAACTTGAAGACCGGTTGCTGCAAAGGGACACAGTCACCAAAAGTCAAATCACACAGTTGGAAACAAAAGATCTCACAGACACAATGCAGATAAATTGAATTCTAACACACCTAGCTGTTGCATGAAGTGTTTAGCAACATCTTCCGGAACTCTTCCGCAGCGATTAATATACATAAAAAGATCACCACCTCTGCAGTATTCCAGTACAAGATGTATTTTCCCAGGGGCCTGACTCATGCAACACGGTTTCCAATCTTAAGCTACTAATAGCATCTCCAAAGAGCATGTATACATATATACATATATTATAACAACTCAACAACATATCATGAACTCAAGTCTAACATATCAACATAGTTACTGATCGGTAGCTACGCATTTTATCAACTCCATCCTGATAAATGCTTTTAGAAGGCAAACTTGATATCCCAGACTTTCTTGCGCCCAAAAAAAAAAAAAAAAAAAAAGACTTTGTGCCATAATTTATAATGTGTCTACATCTATCCTCTATCCTCTATCATCCAGAAGGTATTTTCACATAATAACATATGTACCGTACTTAAGCAAATCCATGATTAACTCCGAGGCATCGAATGCTTTTTCTTCAGTAAAAAAAGTTCGTTTTCTGAAACAAAAAAAGAAGTTATCTAATTACGCACTAGGAACACCAACATCCCTGATAGGTTCCATAACAATTAGCTCAAAACCTTATCACACCCACCAAACCAGCAATGACCTTAGTACTTAGATTCTATATCATGCCAGTCCAAGAAAAAACAGGAAAAGAACATCCTAGAACTCCCAAAAGGTCTGGAAACTCCTTCGCGTCACGGCCTACAATTCCCTCGCTCAACTGAACGAGCTTTCAACCCTGAAAAGCAAGCAGCTTGCGCATTTCGAAAATGCCTAAAAAAAAACGCCCCCAAGACGACTCACCTCGATGATATCGTGCAAGCGAATGATGTTCGGATGGTTGATCCTCCCCAGTATATGAATCTCGGACATCAGGCTCTCCTGCAACTTCTTGTTGAGCTTGCCCGTGGCGATCTCCTTGATCGCGACCTCCGTCCCGTGGACCCGGTGCCGCGCGTGCCACACCAGGGAGAACGACCCCGACCCGATCTGCCGCCCCACCAGGTAATCCCCGATCACCCTCCCCCTCGCCGCCGATTGCGCCATCGTCCCCAACCACCACCGCGACCCAAATAACAGAAAACCCTAGAATCGATCGGACGCCGGAACTCGGCCGTGGCCGGCGAATCGGAGCACGGCGATGAGGTTACCGGGCGCCGCGGGGCGTGGGGTTCGGACCTTACGCCGGAACTTCCAAGGACGGCGGCGAGGCGGTGAAGAGGATTGAGCGAGAATCGACGAAGCCAGAGAGAGAGAGAGAGAGAGAGAGAATGAAATCAATGGAGATACATTTTCATTATGGGCGTGTGGGGAAGATATAGTTCGAGCTCTAATTAATCAATTAAATTAGCGATTTAATTTTCGCGATAATTATTTGGATTTTCTTGATTTAATTTAACTAGGTGAGAAATCACGATCCGTAAATTTTCCTTTTAATGTGAAGATAATAAATTTTTTTCCTTGTTTTTTTGGCGTGGCGGTCGTGATTAGGGGAGGTAATCGAGCGGGGGGTTTGGATTAGGATTGGAGTGATTGGATTTTGATTAGATTTTAGATTGGATTTTTGCGCTTAATTAGAGATGGACAGGGAGGTTGAAAGGGAAAGGGAAAGGGAAAGGGCTCTTTGTCTGTTGGCTAACCAGGTGATGGAAAACGTGTTTTTATTTTTTATAATCTACTGCAGCTTTAGGGTGTGGCCAGTTCCATGGTGTGTACGGTGGGACCGAGATGGGTCGCGATCTCATCGATAGATCTTTTTTTTTATTATTTTACTGATTTGGATGGACAAGGACGGGCGGGTCTAATCCGATAATAATTAGAGCATTACATGTCAACATGTAATTGATGGGACTGGGTTATAAAGATACGACGATACGATACGCACAAAGAGCGGTTAAATGGTCCCACAGCACTAAAAAAATTATCTGCAAACTCGAGGTTGGTACGTGTATTTACGAAGATTTTAAGAGTATGCTTATGCAGTGGCCGGTGAATTGTAAAAAAATTTATTTTTACCATGGGACGGTGAAATCGAAAATGGTTACGGGGTAATGTAAAAAAAATAAAAATAACAACGTGCTTCTAGAGGACCCGACAATTCAAATTGGCTCCAACAGTATGTTGGGTGAATTTGAGCAATGGCATCTAATTAACAAGCTCGGCTAGGTGAATCTGGACAATAATATTTAATTATTATCAAGCTCGGCTTGGTTAGGTTTGGTTGGGCCCGACAAGTTTGTGTGAATTAGATTTTGCCATAGGCTTGGCCTAGTCAACAAGTGAGACCTGATCAGAGGGTCCAGCTCTAGTCAATTTGATCTTATTGGCGTGGAACATGCAAATCCATCTTAGCGATAAGATCCATGTGTTGTTGATGTGGACGTTATCGACCTATCAACATTCATTTTGTCCACGAATTGATGTTTAATTGCCAACACTCCAAACTATAAGGCATTCGTGTCTGGGTTGTTGCCTTAGAGAATCTTTCATTTTAATCTTAAGAAAAAATACAAAAAAAGTAGTAAATTTATTGTATTTATATTAATTTAGTCCCGAACATTTTAACTCAATTCATCCGATCAATTTTGGACGGATATTGCTGACATGGACGTTGGCCGTCTTATGTGGTGAAATGGCCGGTACTGACGTAGATATTTTTAAATAATATTTTAATAATAAAATATATATAGAGATACAAAAAGAGGAGGAGGATATTTATAACGATTTTGTTCTGCAGGAACAGCGATTTTTTTCGGAAGGCAGAGACATTATAGACGAGTTTTACAACGCATCCGCGTCTCCTCCCAGATCACCAAACCATCGCACGCAAATATATCCATCGACACGCCGAAGCAAAAGCTCGTTTCGTTTCGTTACGTTACGTCTCGTTTCTAGAAGATTCCTTCCCTCCGATTCTGCGTCGTCTCCTACCTCCGTCCGACCCAGTTCCTCGATCGCGCGTCGATTCGTTCCTAGGGTTTCCCGACTTGCGGGAAGAAGCGGGAACAGGAAGAAGAAGAAGAAGAAGAGGAGGGGGGGCGACGGATCATGGATTGGGGGAGCGTGACGGCGGAGGATCTGCTGGACGCCCTCCGCGAGGTGGACTGGTCGTTGCCGCCTCGCCCCTTGCCGGAGTTCTTCTCCAGGTTCACCGTCCCGAGATCCTACGCCAAGTGGAGCAGCCGGCTCAAATGCAACCTCTACTAGTACGATTTCCCTCGCTTCTCCTCTTCTCTCGTCTTCGATGAATTATGCGAATCGTTTGTCGCTCGTGTCGTGAGTCTCTTCGTCGTGAGACGGAGGGGCGGATCTGAGGTTATTGTTGTGTTCGGGCGACGGAACTGAAGTGCTCTTCGATAGAGTCTGTGTTGATTGCGAAATGAACTGATTCGGTTGAATTTTGCGAAATTTGAAGAGATTGAGTGGGGAAGTTCAGAGAATTTCAGTTTTGCTTAGTTTTGAATAGCTAGCTTTTTTCTTTTTCCGGTTTTGTGCTGGCTGAAAATGCGATTTTGAGCACTATTGGTTTGGTTTCTGATTCAGATCACCTCTTATTTGCATGGTTAATTGCAAAATCTCACTAGTTGTAGATTAGCTAAAACTGGCTAATGAAATGATTGGGAAGCTCCCACTCTGTTCCCCCTGACCACTACTTGTGATTACAAGCTTTGTAGACGGTTAGCATGTTGAGCATAAGATTGTTTGATGCCACTATTCATTGATGGTGAAGTAGCTGATAGTGACAAGAGAAAAATGGAAGCTGGGTGAAGTTCAGCTACTAGTTGTCGCCTATGTATTGTAGAGAGATGTCTATTTATAGATGAAGGAGGTGGAGCTCCTGTAATCTGCTAACTGTTGGCAACATGTACTACTTTATATAATGTTGGCAAGTTATGGATTGTGATATTTGAGTGATAGTGAAATGAAAACCTCCATTTTCCTTTTAATAGTTTTTTCTATGGAATTGGCGTTTTCCTATCTAATTACTGGTAAAATATTTTCTACTTGCAGCTATAGGACAAACTACTTCATCATGATTGTTGTCATTCTTGGTAAGTAACTTTAAGAAGGAAGTTTTCTATCTTGTTTTGACAATGAAGAATGTAGAACTGTTGCATTTTTCCTAACTTTCGCCTATTAATGTATCGAATGCAGCACTTGGTTTTCTCACTAGGCCACTTGCTATTGTTGCGGCTCTTTTGACAAACCTTAGCATTGCATTTCTCAATGACAGGTAACGGCTCTCTCTCTCTCTCTCTCTCTCTCTCTCTCGCTTGCATGCACGCACGCACGCACGCACGCACCTGTTGGAAAATAGTCATCTTAGTGAAAAGCATCTTTCATGTGATGTTTCATCTATATAACATATAATCACATATGCTTTTGAAATATTAGAGAGTTTAGCGGTTAGTATTTTATATTTCCTTGTCCATGCTCGATGGTGAATGTAAGCCATGAATTTCTTCGTTGTTGCCATACTCTGTGTTCAGCGTGCCAATTTTATCTCTAGCATTGCCTGTTGATGTCACCAATGGTTGTTACTGCAGCTTTGCAGGCACTTTTAGTGAGAAGGTGACAAGGACTGTTAGGCAGTTTTCTCCACATTTAGCTGCCAAGATGAGGCCATCTCTCACGTAAGTTTGGGGTCTCTTACGTTTCTCAAAATTCCGTTTTTTCGATGATAGCATCTTTAACAATCTGCTCCCCAACAGACCGGTAATCCGTGGGCGTCCATCAACTAAAAGGGCAGTCCACATATGTGGTCGGCCACGTTGGGTGTTTGTCTTGATATTCTCCGCTGGTAATCCTGAACTTGCCATTGCTGTTGCATAACTTTTTTGACTTTTTTCTTATGTCCACATCATGCAAGTCATTCACGAATGGGTCTTTTCCTTCTCTATTCTTGCGCAGCATCGCTTGTCCTGTGGTTCGTCTCCTGTGGTCTTTTGACTGTCCTTTGGGCGCTTGTCATTGGACTTTCTGGTACAAATCTTGCTTAGTTTAATTTAGTTGTTCTTATACTTTGCAATTTATCTAATATGCCTCTCTATGTCTGCTTGCCCTCTCAGCCACTCTCCTCCATGCAAGTTTTAGAACACCAAACTTGAAAGCTCGCCTAAATACATTCCGTGAGGAATTTCGTGCTGTTTGGCGTAATTACAGTGAGCTGTAGTGTATCTCCAGCGTAGAAATGAGTACATTTTCTTGGTAAGTTTCTTATGCCTGTTTTATATTATCTGCCTTGTTTAGATAAATTATCTTTCTGTCTTTGGGGGAAATTGAATTCTTAATCATCCTTTCACCCATAGAATCAGCACTGTCAACTTCTGGGAAAATTGCCCCACATAACTCAAACTTATTGTACAAAATGCAATAAAGTCCTAAACTGTTCAGTTGGTACGATCTAGTCTAAACCTTTATAAAAAAGTGCAATCAAGTTATAAACTTTTTGATTTGTTGAGTTAAATTTTAAAACCTTTTTCAAAATTTTTCTGACAAAAAAAATCGAAAAAATTATGTTGAAAAGTGCAATTTAAGGAAGCTATGTTGGCAAATTATTAAGTGACATGAGGAACAATTACGGGTACTGTTCATTGAAAGAACTCAATTGCACTTTTGGAAAAGGTTTAGGACTCAATTGAATGAATTGATAGGTTTAGGACTTGATTCCATTTTGTGCAAAAATTTTAGACTTCTGGTGTACATTTCCTGTCAATTCCTTGTAATGCATGTGAAGCTTTTGGTCTTGATGTGCTCATAGATTTTTTTCTGGTCATAAATGAGAAAAATATGTCTTTGAAGAGATTGAACATTGTCAATCTTTGGAGAGTATACTCTGAGATTTTGACTGTTGTAATGAGAAAATGCTGTTACTTTTGTGTGGTCGGCATGATAATTTCTTTGGTCCCGTACAAAGATGGCTAAATTTATAAAAATGTCAATTTCTGGACCGGATTTTTGGAGGTGGATTCTGGTTTAACTAGCTAGGCACTCCCATTATGGGAACGCTTGTTTCCAAAAGATTATGTTTTCATCAATCTATGTGAATGACATAAAGTTCACACCACTGAATGGTGAAAACACTGAAATTCTTATCTTGTGGTAGCATCATAGATGCAAGGTCATCATATAAAATACCAAAAATTTGAATGAAAAGAAAATTGTGATTTTTTTAGCAAACAATTAAGGAAGAAGGGATGGCTTAAGTAAAAGAAGGTTCACTTATAAGGATGCTATGAAATATTGCAGAAGAAAGAAGAGCAGAATGAGACCTTTACTTAAGGCTCAGTAAAAGCTGTAATCAAAAGTTCTTTTAGAGGTTGACATGTGTCTACCTGTAGCATTGCTTAACGTCTGCAAGAATAACATTTCAACACACATCATGAATTCAGGGCATGGCTTTTTGGAAATTGGACAAGCAAAGTCTTATTGAACGTAGGGAGCATCTGTGTAATTTTACCAGATATAGGGATTGTTGACTACAATTTAAGCAGCCTCGGTTTTTGGTGGATCAGAAAAATTAAGCTGCTCTAATTGCAAAGAGTTATTGCCAAATTTTGATTTTTATGGTTTGGATGCAGATTGAGCAAAATTTGACCTGATTTGAGTGCTTAACTAAACCACCTTTTATTTGGGGAAATGAGGGTGACCACAGTCATATATGAGATTAGGTATGAAGGAGATGGCTATATTTCAAAAAACAATTTTTATTTTTCTATGAGGAAAATATGTCATGTGCTACACTTATCTATGCAACCATTAGATATATTCTAAATGGTAGAGAAGTTATAATTTGGTTAGGGTGTGTTTGTTTGTTGAAAGTATTTTTTTGGAAACTGTTTTCATTGATTTTTGGTGTTTGGCACATGTTGGTCAACCTGAAAACATTTGTCAATGAAACCTCGGTGGCATAAAAGGCAGAAAATGAAGTCCCCTACTAAACAAGAGGAAAGTGTTTTCCAAGTAAAAAGAGCTAAGTCTGGTGTTAATCTGGTAAGGCTGAGGACTAGTGCACCTCTTCTAAAGCAAGCGCTCTCTCTCTCTCTCTACCCCCTTCTCTCTCACGTACTGTTTTCAAATTTGCTATTTGCCTCCACAAAAAACTTGTAAAGTTTTTAATAAACAATCACTATGACTTACCCATGGAAATTCTTTCTCTATAAGTTATGACAAAAAATCTTGAAAATTATATCCTTTTCATATTGAGATATGTTATCCAACAAGGGAAAAGCAATTGTTTTTCTTGAAAATGATTTTCGAAGAAAACATTTTCCTTTATCATGTAGTTTTTTGTGAAACAAACGGGCCCTTATATTTTGTGAAACAAAAGGGCCCTTATATTCTTTGCGTCCTAATAGATGCATAAAAATCTGTGATTCTGGTCTTCATGCCAATAAACATAGGAGCTGATATGTTACTAGGTGATCATCAGTCGTGGGTTGACCTGTCTTGCAACTTGCAAATAATGGACTGATAGGACTTCCCCGTTAGGGTTATAAGCAGGATAAATTGATAAGTTGTTTTCCAATGTGCTAAGTCGGTGTTTGGTAAGGTAAGCGTCGGATCTGTTTTTTTTTTTCCCCAGATGCCAAACATAGCAAATAAACCTGAGGGCCCTTTTTTGCCTTTTCTGACCTGATCATTGATTAGCGATGCCGAGAAGCTGAGATTTGGAAAAGTCATTAGTGGATTGTTGACTTGTTTCAAATTGATTCACAATGTTCAGAAGCGAATGTTAAAATGACAATGCTTCTTACCTATTTCAGCTTATTCAAAGTAAGCTGACTACTCGACTCCAATTTTTTCTTATTCAGGTGTTTTCCCCCAAGGCTTGAAGCTTATTGTCGCTATAGTTGCAAGTTTGGATGACTGCAGCCGAGACATGCATAGCGAAATAAGTTATTTTTCTCGGATTGGGATCACTGGGAGAAGGCCGCAAATCTCTGCTGATTCTCCGAAGTTTGTAAAGTGTTGAAAGCAAAGTGTTCCGCGTTTCATTTCCTGGTAAGCAAAGGTAGAAGAGGAGAAACGGGTCAGCATGAAGAACTCTGTGTGACCTGATGGCTCATTTAGCTTCTGAAATATGTTTTCCCTTTTGTGTGACATGTAACCTTGTCTGCATACTTAGGTAAAAAAAAAAAGAGCGAAATATGTTACAATTATTTACAACTTTGATAGCACAAGCTGTCTCTAGCTCTGGGAAGTTTAGTGGAGGAGATTTCCTTGATTTTTCACATGGTTGTGCCTTGTATTGTGGAACAAGACGGTGTCCCGACATTCACGGTCATGAAAAGAACCCAAAAAATGAAGGAAGAAAAAGAAATCTGCTAGACCAAAATCCAGTAAGGTTGCGAGCACAAGTAGTGGAATCCGTGCAATAAGCCCCCTCGAGCTTTGCATTAGACGGGGTGTTAAGCAATGTGCTTTCCACGAGTTGTTAAAAGACTTACCATCTAGGTCAATTGAATGTCAGCTCAAATAGCTCGAGGAAGGTACTGAAGTGGCTTTTGATAGATAGTAGCGGGAAATGAAATTGAAAACCTGGACAGAGATTGATGGAGCGATTCACTTGTCGAACCTTCGACCTGTAACAACGATGGCCTGCCCAAATGGTTCTTGTGCTATAAAAGTAAACACATTAGGCTTCATGAATGGGCAGCGCGTATGTCCGTGTAAAAGCTGAGTAGCTTGAGCGATATTCGTTCTCCATTCATGTTGGTCGCCAAATACTTCGCAACTGCACTAATGGAAAACGAAAAACGAACAAAGATGTCGGCTTGGTTAGTATTTGATTGCGTGGACATTTGCTTGTTGAAGGTCGTGCCAGAATTTCACTTCACAAAGCAATTCACCATTTCACGCTACTCCATGAATCTTATGCCCAGAGCCCTTTTATATTGCATTGGAATCATAACGTTCCCCGTGCAACAATTGCGTGCAATTGATCATTATGCAGATCGGGTTTATAGCTTAAGGAAAAGAAGTATGTCTAGCTAATAATACCCCTCTCCACATATAGAAAGACTGTCAAGCTGACTCAAATATTTATGCAAGAAGATAGGAAGCAAATTTTTTTCATTTTGGGAGGGAGGACTGAATTGGCCGTATGTCTATTTTGTGCCATGTCGGCGATATGATGATGGTACTAATGAGGATCGACGAAAGAATCTGATCGTGCAAATCGAGAAATTTGGAGAACTTAATTGCTATAAAAAGTTGGAAGGATCGAATCGGATGTACAAAGAATGAGTTTCAAGGGACTAAAACTGTGATCAATCCCTTTTTTTGTTGGTTAAGTTTTGATACAAACAATTCCCAAAACACATCCAAGTGGTCAGACAGTATGCTGAAAAGCTCGCACGCAAGAATGGAAGCTACTCCAGCTTGATTGTAAGAGTATTACGATCATTTGAGGACCAGAAGACCAACATTTAAAACCATTTCCTTGCCAATTAATGAAAGTATATGCCATCTTAGGAAGTATATTGTCACGCAGGGGCACGGACTGGCCCCATGTTACGTCGGCCTCTTTATGGCTCGCACCATGTGCGTCTCTTTGACTCCTTCCCTCTGTCTATGATCTGTCTGAGATCTCTCTCTCTCTCTCGCTGTCTGTCTGTCTCTCATCTTGCCTATAACAAGGGTCATCAGAAAATGTTGGTTGGCAAAAATCACTGGCTCGATCATCTCTCCGCTGTAAGTATTTTGAGATCGATGAAGAGAGGAAGGTCATAAGAAGGTCGAACATGGATGGCTTTTTGAAGTGGATGCAGGCTCTTGCATCAGCATGGGGAGTCATTCTGATACTTGGGTCTCATCGGGTGTTGCCTCAGCACCATCCCTTATCACCACGGTGACAAAACCGGCGGTTGTGCAGGTTGCACTGGCGATTGGTGTATGATGTGTGCTCATGCTTCTTCTTCTTCTTCTTCTTCTTCTGTTTCCTCTTTTGAATTGTGAACATACCGAGACCGTGCAGACATCCGTTGACTAAAGGCCATGTAAACACTCCTTTTTGACCGCGTCAACAAACGAAAGTTGTACATAATTGGTAATCTTCATCGTTTCCGTTTGATCCTCAATCTTATTTGTGTATATGGATCTTGTAGATGAGTCTTGATATGCTCAGGTCACGCTAAAACTATATACATATTAACTTTGGTGCATACTGTCCATTTTGTTGAGGAGAATCGGGCAACAATTCACTAAGAACTAACCCAATCTAGGATCAATTTCTTATTTTTGCAAATAGGATAGTGGCCACTCTAAGATAATCATGAATGAAAGAGATAAACCAATTTGCGATCATTTGGGTTTGGAAGAGTCCATGCAAAGCGTAAGCACCACCTTGCAAGAGGATTGTTTGATCCCGCTACCAATTCGTTAGCTCCCTCAGAGTTCACTTCGAGAGGGTCATTACAATGGAGAGGAGCAACCCATGTAGCGACCTCTTCTAGGTGTTACCACGAAGGTCTCACACACCCGTCATCGTAACACTTTTGGAGTAACTCACTCGAGTTATGGTCTACTTTAGTTACCGAGCCTCACGGTTTTGTCCTTTGGCTTATAGATAGACACTTTTTAAGAGACTACGCATCTTGGTAGTGTTCTTCCCTAAGAATGCTTAACATTGTAGTTCTAATTCTTAATGTTGTTGTTACGTTAGAAGATATCTCTTGTGAGTTAAGTTAATCGAGATATTGTTCACTTTGGTCCGGGATAGCCTCACAGTTTTGTCGTTTGGCGTTTAGGTGAAGACTTTCCCAAAAGGTCAATATTTCGATAGTGTTTTCACCCGAGCATGTTAACATTGAATTTCCAATGCTCAACATTGTCGTTAAGTCAAAAGATGCATTTTGTAAAGTAATTCCAAGTATGTACATATAATCCAGGAACATTTCCCCATGATCCCTTCACCATTCTAGAAACTTGCATGGAGTCAATCCTTATTGGGGCCCTCTCGCCCTGTCGATCCTTACCTGTCCTCATCGATCACATCTTGCCCTTGCCGGATTGGGTCATTATAGTTACAGACTGTTCAATTTGAGTTATGACTACTCGATCCACTCATAGATGTACGAGCCTGTTACAAGTTCCTCCACATGCAGTAGTAAATGCCCAATGCACGAATTGGTTAAAGATTCGCTCACGACATAACTTGAATTCGATATCTTGCTAAAGACTTTGTGACCCCTTTATAATTTGTGAAAGATTCTATATCAAATATGCTATTGATTTTTGATACATATTCATGTTTTTGATCGGCTGCTTTTTCATTTTTTATACCGATGATTCCAAAAATCATCAGGAAAATTATCCAAAAGGTCTTAAAGATATTACACTTTTTTCAATTTAGTCATAAACTTTTTTATTGTGCCAATTGAGCCTTAAACCTTTTCACTTTTGCCAATTTAGTCCATTCGATCAATTTTGGTTGGAAATTGCTATCGTGGACGTTGGCCGTCCTACGTGGCATGACTGGCTCTGACGTAAACAATTTGTAATAATATTTTAATATTATTTTCGAATTCTTTGTTGATTTATTTATTCTTTCTTTTTTTTTCTTCTCTTTTCCTTCCTTACTTTTTCCTTTTTTTTTCTTTTTCTTCACCATTGGCCAGTGAGGGTGAGGGAAAAAAGAAAAAAGAAAAAAATAAAAAAAGAAAAGAAGAGAAAAGGAAAAAAAAACGAAAAAGTAAAGAAAGAAAAGAGATAAAAAGACAAAAGTAAAAAAATTTTAAAAATAAAAAAATACGAAATTATTATTAAAAATTATCTACGTTAACGCTAGTCGTTCCATGTAGGACGGCCGACGTTCTCGTTAGTAATTTCCGGTCAACATTGGCCGGAACGACTTAATTAGCAAAATATGAAAAATATTTATGACTCAATTGGTACAATTAAAAAGTTTAGGATTCAATTGGAAAAAGCGCAACAGATTTAAGACATTTTCCCAAAATCATCCATGCAGAAGCAGTCGACCCTGACAACGTTGACCACTCGGTTCAAATTTCACATAGCCTATTTCTCTATTTAAACAGGGAAATAATGGCAGCCATTTTATATGCGGTCAAACAAGAAAAAGTCTATCCTCTTCAAAAAATATATATATAGGTCTTAGTTACAACTCTCAGAAGCAAAAGACCCCGTCGTTGGGGACCGATTCAAGAACATAGTATTCTTGCAGTATCGTGCTATTTTGAATTGCTCCTCGAGCAATACCACCTTACATGTACTATATAGAGATGGATAGGTGCAACGGAGAAAGCCTTCAAGTCACGTACTTTTACAGGCGGATAAATTAGACGAAGGAAAGAGAATATGAAGACCTTTGCCATAGTTTGGATTGCAGTGTGTTCTACGATTTCGGTTCTGATTATGATTGTCGTTGCCTTGAATGCCGTCTTTGCGATCCGTAGGAGGGGAAGAATTTTAGGGGACGGGGGTTCTGGCGGAGGACACGGAGGAACAGCGGAGCACGACGCGCTAAACAGTCATTTTGGAGGAGTATTCGATGGTGGCGCTTCTCTAGAGTCTGGAGGAGATATGGTCGGTGTTGGCGATTTCGGGGGCGGCAGTTCAATCAGTGGGGCTGACGGAGGAGTCATGGGCAGCAGTGACACTGGTGGCGGCAGTGGTGGAGGCGGTGGTTCTACGCCATGTGATAGCGGCAGTGGAGGCGGTGGCTGCGGCTTTTAACGAGGGACGGAAAATCGACATGCTCGACACTTTCCAGATTGAAGTTTTCTGCACAAAGGGCAGCGGAAGCTGCAATATATTATAAGGATTTGTTCACCATCGATGAAATTATTTGTGTAACATCAATTGAATTTTTCCGAATAGATTATGTACAACAAATCATAGATTATGAGTTAGTTTTCTATACTTTCATAAATGAGCTAAAACTTTCATTGTAAATTTTTAAATTTTTTATTATGTTAATAGTAAGCATGGAGTATTAGGAACTCCTGCTTTCACTATTCGGTTGGAGACTCTAAAATTTATGATATTGTTTTTATTTTTATTTTGTTAACTTGAAATTAACTTTTTCTATTTTTATTGTTGATGTCATGAATTGACTTCGTTCTCTATTCGTTATTATGTTCTTAAGAAATATACTTTCGAGTTTTTATCGACTGACATGAAATTGCTTTCTTCGCTTTGAATGCATATTTTATCCACATAGAAAATAACTTGCGTTGAATAATGGATATTATAACTCTTTATTAATTTAATTTTATCTTGGCCCTTGTTAGTTTCTTTCTGCTCTTGATGAGAAATGGCTCTTGATGATTGGATGGCAAACATTGAAATGATAATTAAAATGATTCCTGATGCATAATACTTAGTCGTTTCCTAGTACAGATTAATATAGTACATGATTCCACGATCTGGGTAACAAAGAAAAAGAAACCAGCTTACTAAAATTACAGATGAGTGAAAGATCATGCAAACTTGTGTCTGGCCTGAGATTGATTCGGTGAAGAGATTGCTGCAATTATAACATAAAGTGGCAGCAAGCTCCCAACGGCAATAAATTTGGCAGCCAGCAAATATCACACGCATGGAAAGAAAGCTTGAATGACGGTCACGTTTCCCGACTTTCCAAACACAGCAGGCGTGAAATCTGACCATTCCTTAAGAAGGACTGAACAGGTTGTCTGTTCTTTTGCTGGTCAAGACCCTTGTCAAGTGCTGGAAAACTAAAGATTACTCCCACTTTTGGATTAGCCTAGATGCAAGGGAGGGCATCCAATGCTTTTGACTCAAAGAATTGGTGGTTGTAGGTTTGATTCCTACGTTGGAGAATTCAAATTTAAGTGGGAGCCACGGTGGTGGGCTGCTGTACTAGTTTCCTCCAGGTAGCTGACTAATTATGATCATGCTCCGGGGTTATTAAAAAAGAAGAGTTCTATAATGCCGCATATTTTACCCACACAACACTGACCATCGGCAAGCCCTTTATGCTTTTCTCACCCCAATGCTAGTGGAAAGTCCAAGACCGGCCATGCCCATTTTGCATACTGCCTAAGTTTCCTCGAGATCAAGGATACAGTGGGGAATCGAGCCTATGACCATTGACCTACAAACCAAGTATTGGACCACTTGACCTAGGCTAAGGTGTATCATCAAGATCGTAGAAGTCATGGATGACTTTGCAACCGAGATCATCCATGGTTGCTCGACCTCAGTTTGAGGTCAAGGTCGAGCGATGATCTCACAATCGTGCGCTTGAGCGACCGTTAATGTTGGCGGGTGGTGGAAACCGGAAAGATTAGGGACTGTGAAAGATTTGAGACTGATGATTTTTCAGAGAGGGGTAATTAGTGTTTCTATGATGGGCTGCTGTCCAGGGGTATGAAAATATGTACTTAGGGTGTGCATGACAACCATTCTGTGCCCGGGAACTATTTCTGAACAGAAATGATTTTTTTTTTATTCTGTGCCCGGAAACAATTTCTGTGCATTTGAAGGCGTTTGGTAAACTGTCCAAAATTTCTATTCTTGGAATAGAAAAGAACGGAAATGCGTTTGGTAACTACACATAAATTTCTTTTTATTAATAATATTTTAATAATATTTTGAATTGTTTAATTTTTTTTTCTTTCTACCTAGGCCCGGCCACAGCCCAGGGCCGGCGAGGGCGAGGCGGCTCGCCGTCGGTCATGACGAGGTCGGCCTCGCCCAGATCGGGCGAGGCCGTCGCGACCCACGGCGAGGTCGGCCTCGCTCGATCCGGGCGAGGCCGAGCCTCGCCGTCGCGACCCACGGCGAGGCCGGCTTCGCCGTGGGTCATGACGGCGAGGCTCGGCCTCGCCGGATCTGGGCGAGGCCGTCGCGACCCACGGCAAGGTCGGCCTCGCCTAGATCTGGCGAGGCCGAGCCTCGCCGTCGCAACCCACGGCGAGGTTGGCTTCGCCGTGGGTCGAGACGGCGAGGCTCGGGCCTCGCCAGATCTGGGCGAGGCCGACCTCGCCATGACCGACGGCGAGCCGCCTCGCCCAGGCGGCGAGGGTCCAACCGTCGCCCTCGCTGGCAAGGGGGACCCTCGCCTCCGCCGGCCGGCGAGGGCCGTGACGCCCTCGCCGGCCCTAGGCTGTGGCCGGTCGCCGTCGTTGCCACAACCCAAGAAGAGCAACACAAAAGAAGAAAAGAAAAAAAAGAAAAAGAAGAAAAAAAACTGATTCTCAAAATTGTGCCAGAAACAAGAAGCAACTTTTTTTACTTCTTGTTTCTCTTCCAAAACTGTTTCTCGGCACAAATATTTGAAAAAATGTGCCCGGAACAAAAAGTTTACCAAACGCATTTCTGTTCCCAAACTATTTCTGGGAACAAAAGAACATAAATTTTCACTGTTTGGCACTTTACCAAACAGGCCTTTAAAAAACTAGAGGTATGAAAGCGGACATGAGATGAAAAGTGAAATATGTTTTTGTGATTCTACCATAATATTCTCCTTTTTTATGTTTTCTTTTGAATGGTTAATACATCACGTTATCAAATACAAATTACAGGTGCTTTAACATATGATTAGTTTTTATTTTTATTTTAAAGTCATTGGTACCCATGGTTCATGAAACTTTATATAGAAAGATTCGAAAGAAAAACAACATAAGGGAAAGTTTATAAGGTTTCTATAAATTGGTTCATAGAGGTTAAAAAAAGGAGTTTTGAAAGATTTAAAATGGGTTCCAAATGTATGGCTTTGAAACTTGCACACGGTAGTGTCACAAAACGTACAATGCAATAATTCATCGTAATAATCGGTCTAAAATTTAGTGGTGACCAGGTGATGGGATGGAGAAAGTACATGACAACATGACACCTTCATCCGAGTTCGAGAATCAAACGGTGTACTGCCTGGTATGATAAGATCAAAGCAATGTTAAGATAATGTTCTAAACAAACGGGTCCACAAAAACTTAATTTTTAGTGTCATTGATGATAGCTTAGACAACCGACCAGTCCATTTTTCTAAGAGTCAACCCACGACCCACAAGTTTCGGCTAGTCCCAGAGTCCTGCGCATCTATTATATGGTAGAAAGCAGACAGGAAATTCCCATGGAGTTTTGTCTACAGAAGCAAGAAAAGGCTGAAAACGCCGGTCCGAAGAATTCGTCAAGGAGGATATTTTTTGAGCTTTGGATTGGTCAAGTTGGAATAAGTATTCTCTAAAAATAACCCATTCTCCCTCTGACTTTCCTTGATTCAAATTGCTTCGACGAAGCCGTTTGTTCTTCACCTTTCAGCAACGCTATGGTTATAAAACATGAACAGAATTGAGAGAGAGCCATGAAGAAAGTCGTGCCGCCGTATTCTTCTAATTGGGCGATTGGAACGACGTGAAATCTAATTGAAGTCAGGGGCTGCGTTTGCAGCAGAGGTCGTGAGAAGACGAAAACCAAGCCACCCGCTGCTGCCCCCGCTCGGTGGCCCATTCATCATTCCAGATCTGCCAAAGAGAGAGGAGTCAATAGAGACGGCGGCATGGCCACGATTGTTCACGGCACTGGCCGTGGCGGTGGCGGTGCTAGCGGCGGTTGCGGCAGAGGAACTGGTGGTTGCGGAGGGTGCGGCGGATGTGGTGGCTGAATCTTTCCGTTTGTCGCCGTAACCGACAAGAGGAAGTATAATTCTATTTGCATCACATTTGACCGCCTCAATTATTTCCCTACTTTTGTACTCGGAAGTGAGAAAACTATTATATAACTTTAGACCACATAGATCAAACTCATCTGATCCACATGAATAATAATTCATATGTTTCTGGCCCGTATGATTTATGGATTATGCAAAAACTTATTGAAACTTCATTGATTGCTTCCACGTTTTATGTCACTTGAAGTGAATCTAAAAAAGAAAAACTAAATATGTTCATCCAACAAATTGGGCATGGAATTTGGCTTTGTCATAACTTAATACCTTCTTTCTAGGTTTTATAATCCGTCATTCGGGCCTGATGATACCCAGAGCTGGTCTTTAATAAAACAAAATCTCTCAAAACTTTCAACTTGGTATGGTTTTATGGTCTATTTAGGAATGAATTCTTGGATTGTAATGGATCGCAATTCCTCTTTTCGCATTCACATACAAAAGATCCGCTCCCCAAGAATACTTAAAATTACCATTTAGCATGAAACTTTTATCGGACATTCGATGAAGGTTCATGAAGTGAGGAGATTGTTTGTGTTGGTCGCTCCTCGCTTGGAGTGCGACCCACATGTCTTAAACAGGAAAGCAAAGAAAAGAAGGTAAAAGATTGGTAGCTGATGCTCTTGAAGTGGCGAAAGCCACGTTGCTCACCAAGTTGGTCAAAGTGCGGCACACTCATGCGGCCCGCGCAAGAGAAAAGGCAAGAGTTGAGAGACAGCAGAGCAAAACTGGACGGACAGAAGCCATTTTGAGAGAAAAGTGAGCTCGTGCGAAGGAAAAAAAGCGAGAGGAAGAGAAGGAAAACGGAAGAACCGCGAATGTGTGGCCCTGTCCATCAAGAATCGGCTTGCGATTTCAATGACGAAATTCTAGTATGTTGTCCATGGCGATGTGTGCTACATGTTGACCGGCGCCTATCATTAGGAAACCTCTTCATCCATGCATTTTCGACATTCTCGCTCGGTGAGATCTCATCACGCTTTTCTCTATATTATTGCAATCCACCTAGACATGATGAACTTATTGTTGCTGTGTTCTACGACAGTTATCTTGATGATATGCTGTGTTGTGTAACCACCAGTGGGACTGGAGAAGGACTGCTGTAATCTTGCTCTGCATCGAGGAAAAGTTTTTCGCGAGCTTTGTGGTTTTCCTCTAGTTGCGGTATGCACGTTAAAGTTTCGTTTGCCCATTTTGCATTGTCTGGTTGTCTGTTGCATTATAGTAATGCTTGTTGTGCTCATTTAATCACACAAGGAGGAGCGAAGAAATTTGCTGGTGTTAAATAATTTCCGTTGTGCATGGTGTGACGCAGTTACTAGAAGGTCTTTCCCCTCTTGCCCAGGGATCATCCTCCGCCCTCGTCGGATTGGGTCGTCACACAATTTCAGAATGTTCAATTTGAATCATAACTACTCAATCACTTGTAGATATATGAGCCTATCGCCGTAATTCCATTGGCGTGCCATAAGTTAGGAGGCTTCTCCACATGAGGTAGTAAATGCCAAAGACATAAGCTGGTCAGAGCTTTTTTTACGACATGACTTGAATTTGTGATTTCAGGGGAGACATTTTGGCTCCTTTAGAGTTTGGGGAAGATTCTATATCTAACATGCTATCATCTTACGGTACATATTCATGTCCCTGGGATATATTCAAATTCCACTTACTCTATTTCTTAATTTAAACGAAGAATAGTGGCAGCCATTTTTTTGCGAAGTCAAACAAGAAAAAGTCTATCCTCTTTACACATCTATAAATACATTATGTGTTACCTCTCTCGGAAGCAAAAGCCCCCGTTGTTGCAGACGGATTCGAGGACAAATAAATCTTAGAGTCTGCTGCTATTTCGAACTTCTCCTTCAAGCAATTCCACATTACATGTACTATATATAAAGAGAGGGGAGGAGGGAAGGATTTCCTTTTTCTTAGTATTGGGTCACCCCCTAAGGCAAATCTAATGGCAAGTTTGACCAATAGACATGTCATATGAGTGGGTCGAGTCGGGTCGAGTCGGGTCGAGTTTGGGTGGGTCAAAAATGATCCGATCAAAATTGACTTATTTAAACTCATATATTTAACGAAATACAAATTTAACGAATCATACCTAGCCAGACCCAGACCCAATTTACACCCAATAGAACCCAGGCTCCAATTTTAGTAATTTTTCGTCTTAAATATGAAAAGTAGCTTATTGAAATTTGTTTAACCAAATTAAAATAATTAACAAATTTGAAATTACAAAACTTTGACGGATCAAACTACTCACGTGATTAAGTATACATTGTTTTTGTCGCGACGTCACCTCCCGCGGTGCATCACCAAGGGGTTCGGCTAATGGATTATTAAGTCTAGGCCTAACTCGGGCTCTCCCAAGCCCTTACCAATTCGCGACTTAAGGTTTAAGTTCTTAACATGCAAATCATTTCAATTAGGAGTCGCCACTAATCTATTTTTTGGTGGGTCGATTAGAAACCCAAGTAAAGTATCGGGAGAATTACTTTACTCCTACGAACCAGAGATTATGGATTCGAGGACTTGGTTACACTAGATTACTCTAATGCCATTTCGGTATCTTTTCTATTTTATTTCAAAAAAAATATTTGCAGGCAACTTGGATTGATTTTAAATCTATCTACTAACATGCGAGGTGATCATGCAGGTGCGCACTTATTAATGAAACACCCAATAAAGCAAAGCAATAAATAAATCGCAAGGACGGGAAGAACATACTCACCTTGGAGCAACGAAAGCATCTGCAATGCTAGTTAGAAAATCACATCAACAACCTTAATATGATTTCTAATTAACACGTAATTCCACTCAATGCATTTTTTGGAATTTTCTCTTATTTAGTGGAAATTAAACTATATGCAATGCATACTACTAATCTAACATGACACGCGACATACGATTTACGTAAATGTCCTAACTCTAATGATGATTAAAAGGACTATCTCTAATATGGCACGCAATGAACCTAGACATGAATTTCTAATGACGAGCAAAATTAATATGTAACTATTCTAGCATGACGCACAATTTCATGAACCAAACATGCAATAATGACATGCAAACAATGACACATGGCAAGTTATGAATGACATGACAAGATGACATGCAAGCATGATGCAATCTAAACTATATGACACGCAGATGATATTTTTTGTAATTTTCTATGAAATTCGAAATTAATTAAATTCTCCAACATGCAATCTACCTTTAAAATCATCTACTTCAATAATATCTAATCTGTTTGGATTTTTTTATATGGAAAGACAATCAATTCAAATCAAACAAAGATAGAAAGAAATCATATCCACATCAAACATGGCATCAAATCACACAATATATTATCAATATCCATATAGTTTTGGAAATAGATTGACGAATCGTATCCTGGGCACGAGGATTGGATTGACCAATTTTTGTAGAATCGCGAATCATATCTCGGGCGGAAAATCGGATTGACGATTTTCCGTGCAATCGCGAATCATATCTCGGGCGGGAGATCGGATTGACGACCATAGCACATTATGAAATTAGGAAATAATTCCTAATTTAAATCTACCTGAGGATTTCATGGATATGAATAATATTCGAAAATTCAAACAATACTGCAATTTCACAAATTAGGCAACAAAATATACGAAAATCGAATTAATGAAGATTCTTTCATAATTCGCAATATCACTTGGATAGCGTTTCCAAATTCCAACTTGATGGGATGGCCCGGATTGCTGTAGCCGACAGTGGTGTTCGCGGTGGTGCTCGATGATCACTGACCAGCTTCACAAATCCTGCAAAGATAGAAGACCAAGGCTCTGCCCCTACTGCTGGTATGGCTTGGGTTGAGAGCAGATCACCGGTGGGGTCTTGGGTCGCAGCCAGAGGGGAACACCACCATTAGGTCAGAGAAAACAGCAACGGGGTCGATCGGTGCAGGGCTCACTTCGACCAGGAACTAGCTCGGATTGGTGCAGGTGGCTCGGGACAGCAGGGACGGCACAGATCGGCGTTGACAGGGCTGGTGGGACAACGGCACGGCAACAGCACAGCAGCTACGACGGTGTCGTGAAAGAACAAAGAAGAGAAATCAAGCACGGTGGTGATGCTGTCCGCGAAAGGCACAAGGCGACGCTGTCCGAGGAAACCAGGAGTCGACGAGAGAGAACTCCAAGGATTGTCTCTCGATATTGCTACGTTCGAAGTGTGGGGGTCTCACATTGGCGTTTTGCGTGATGTGGAGAACATGCGTTGAGCCAGTGAAGTGTCACTTGAGAAGAGACTTTCTCCTCCCTCTCCCTTTTGTCTTTTCTCTGGCTTTTTTCTCTTCTTCACGTTCTCTCTGAACGTGTCTCTCGATTGTGGCCGTGGATTTCAATTTTGTGGCCTTCCCCCCTTGTCTTGTGAAAGAGCCCCTCTACTTGTATTCTCTTTTCTAGTATCCGCCAATATTCTAGATATCGTGGGGCCACCTTCAAGAATATCACAGTTTCCTTCTTTCCTTTTGCTTATTTCCCTATTGGACCGTGCATATATACACGCCCAAATACTCCCCTCTTGGCCGAATCTCTTTCTTCCTTTCCTTCAATGTTGACCGAATTTTCCCAAAATCCACAGAATTGATTTAACCATGTACGCACATATACTCGAAAGATTATCTCTGATTTTTTATCGGCCATGCGATATCTAAATCTTGATAATTTAATATCTTTATTGTCTCGAATTTTTATCAGATTTTCCTGACTTGACGCACGTGATTTTAGCCACCGCGGGCTTAGTCCCTTGAAGCTCAAACCATTCACTCGAGTTCATCTGCCGCCGGTTCAATGCAAATGCGACTATATGAGCCTAAATACTAATTCAAATGCTCCTAATCTATATGCAATTTAACTAATTTTTTTATCTAGGGACCGGGATCGATCCCTAACTTTTTATGAACGAACGACTAACTGGATCGCCAAAATTTAGGTGTTAACAGTTTTTAACGAAACTTTAACATTTTGTGCTAATTAACAAATTTGAAATTACAAAAATTTGACGGATCAAACTACTCATGTGATTAAGTAAGCATTGTTCATGATCCATTTTGTCACCTCTAATGATAAGTCATGGGATGGCGCAAGAACATGACAAGAAGACACCTTCATCCAAGTTGGAGATCTAACGGCTATTCTGCGGGGAATGATCGAGGCAATGTTTAAATAACCTAAACTAACGAGTCCACAAAAATTAATTTTAGTGTAATTGGTGATGGGTTGGACAACGAACCTGTATGTCTTTTTCCTTCTAGTCGAGCATAAATGGACGCGAAGCATCCTCACCGATCTGTTGACCAAGCCAAACAATGGAATGGATATTCCGATGGAAATTCTGTGGAAATAGCCCAAACATTCCTTAATCCAAATAGCTTCCTCAAAGCCAGTGGTTCGTCATCTTTCAGCGACTCGACGACTATAAGCAAGAAAAGCATCGAGAGGGAGCCGTGGAGATACTCGCGCCACCGTTTTCTTCTTGTTGAAAATTGGAACCACGTGAAACTCAAGTAGAGTCATGGGCTGTTTTTGCAGTAGAGGTCGCGAGAAGGCGAAAGCCGAGCTGCCCACTGCGATCCCCCCTCAACCACCCATTTATGAGGCCGGATCTGCCAAGAAGAGTGGCATCGGCAGAGACGGCGGCATGGCTATTCTTGCTGGTGCAGGCGCTGCCGTAGTGGCCACCGCTGCAGTGGCCACGGTTTTGGACAGTACTGATGGTGGCGGAGGCGGCGGTACAGATGAAGGAGCTTCTCGTAATGGAGGAGGTTGCTGTCGATGGTGCGGCGGCGGAGGGTGTGGGGTAGGGGGCACGGGGGGAGGGTGCGGGGGAGGAGGGATGCGGCGGCGGTTGCGGGGGTTGAACGTCTCTGTTTGTTGCCGTAAACGATACATGTATTTTATGCTTTCATGCTGGACAGATAAGCATGCAACGAGTGGTCTATATTATTTGTAGAATATGCAATAACTTATCCGGTTATCTTGAAGTTTTATGCTGTATCAAATATACCTGGAAAAAAAAAAATTTGTTCATGTTCATGCAATGGATTAGGGATGAGCTTTGACTTTTTGGCCTCTGATACCTTCTTCTTTTGAGGTTCTATAGTCTGTCATTCGGGCCTAATGTTATAGAGAGCTAAACTTTAATAAAACAAAATCTCTTTCAATTTTTAACTTGGGGCAGTTTTATGATTCGTCGAGAAACGGATTCTTGAATCGTATGGGCCGTAATTTCTCCTTTTTCTATTCATCTACAAAATATTATAACACACAAAATAGTATGCTGCTCGTGGCGATGACTGGCACCAATTGTTGGAAAGCCTCTTCCATTGGCCCATTCGTGACATTCTCGCTCGTTGAGATCCGGCCGTACTTTTCTCTGTATTATTGTAATCCGCCTAGTCGTGATGAGCTTATTGTCGCTGCGATTCAAGATGGCTATCTTTGATGATAACCTTGTGTAACCTCTAATGGGACCATACAAGGCTTGTTGTAATCCTGCTCTGCATAGTGGAAGTTTTTGACTGAGTCTGGTCCGTGGTGGTTTTTCCCTGTTGTGGTTTGCCCGTTAAAATCTTGGGCGTCCCATTCTATATTGTCCCATCTTCCATTACATTATAGTAATGCTTATTTTGCTCATTTAATCACACAAAGATGGGAGGGAAAGGATCTAATTGCACGATAAAGAGAATCAGAGACATGCTAGAACATTTTACAAGACTTTAGGGATTAGTAGTGCCTTTATCTCAAATTTTAATATCGTTATCATTATTTAGTTGCGCCGGTAAGCTTCAAATTCCAGAATGATGCTTTTACTAGCTAGTCTGACGAACATCCTGGTGGAACACTCGGGTAAGTTATGTTGAAAAAGTTCGGTATGCCCAGGTCTGACATGTTATATTTATAATGTGATCCCACATTTAGGGATATAGTTTTTGAAATTAAAACTTATCCATTGGGTTTGACCCACGTTTTCTCTTTTAAGTGACGGTTATCCACATGCGGTTTTTCCACTGTTCGTACCCCTTCGGTGACAACCGCCCTCTTCGGTAACCGCCTTGATGGGAAGCGGTTTATAAAGATGAACGTTCATTCTATAAGGGTAGACACAAGGTCTAACGCAAACCCTCTCATTCGGTAATACACCATCAGTATGCGAGGGGATTGGGTTAGTAAAGTGCGCCCGTAATCGCTGTCAAATTAACGTCGAACTACCGTGGATTTCCAAGGAACGTAAAGTTGAACAATGGCTGGAGGTCGGTTTATTTTTGATCCTTTTTCCGCATTTGATTCTAATTGTGCTTGAATTTTGTTCTTCTATGCATGATTAGAATCCTTCAGTTTTAGTCTCACATTTGGTATCAGAGCATGATTAGTGCCTCTGCCTTGTTCTTGTTGAATTTTTGGTGTATTTTTCGGGGCTTTTTGAGATGAATAGTAATTCGGCATTTTGGGGCTAAGAGGGAAATCGCCGATTCCGGCCAAATTCCGGCGACCCACCGCTCGACTTCGGACCGGCACGGTCGCACCGCCACGGAGAAGAATAGCCCTAAGTTAATCTGGCATATCGGTAATCGCCGGAGGCTGTTTGAGCGGCGGAAGTTGCGGGTTAGGGTTTGTGCGTTTTGACGGAATTTTGCTTGATTCGAGCCAATTTCTTGGTTGTTTTCGCCGAATTTTGGGTCCATGTGGTCGTGCCGACGTGGTCTCCGAAACCCATGAATTATTTTTGGTGTAATATGGGTTACCGGAGGAGACCCATTCGGTCGAAGGTGCGGCGGAACGGCGAAGAACGTCGAAAAATGGCTTCTGTTCGCGCGGAGGAAGAAGGCGCGTGGCCCCACGCGCGCAACCGCCGGCGCGTGGTCTCCACGCGCAAGCAACCGCAGCGCTGTGCGGCCCGGGCCGCGCGCAGCTTGCAAAGCGGGTGCGCCGCACGCGCCCGCTGGGTAAAGAAGGCGCGTGCGCGCCACGCGCCCGCATAGATAGCGCGCGCGTGCCGCGCACGCGCCCGGGAACTGCACCAATCCACCCCGGCCGGCCACAGCCAATCCACCAGAGACCAATAATATTTTGAATTGTTTAATTTTTTTTTCTTTCTACCTAGGCCCGGCCACCGGCGGCCGGCCACAGCCCAGGGCCGGCGAGGGCGAGGCGGCTCGCCGTCGGTCATGACGAGGTCGGCCTCGCCCAGATCGGGCGAGGCCGTCGCGACCCACGGCGAGGTCGGCCTCGCTCAGATCTGGCGAGGCCGAGCCTCGCCGTCGCGACCACGGCGAGGCCGGCCGCCGTGGGTCATGACGGCGAGGCTCGGCCTCGCCGATCCGGGCGAGGCCGTCGCGACCCACGGCAAGGTCGGCCTCGCCTAGATCTCGGCGAGGCCGAGCCTCGCCGTCGCAACCCACCTGGCGAGGTTGGCTTCGCCGTGGGTCGAGACGGCGAGGCTCGGCCTCGCCGATCCGGGCGAGGCCGACCTCGCCATGACCGACGGCGAGCCGCCTCGCCCGGCGGCGAGGGTCCGGCCCTCGCCCTCGCCGGCAGGGGACCCTCGCCTCCGCCGGCGGCCGGCGAGGGCCGTGACGCCCTCGCCGGCCCTGGGCTGTGGCCGGTCGCCGGTCGGGCCCGGCCACAACCCAAGAAGAGCAACACAAAAAGAAGAAAAGAAAAAAAAGAAAAAGAAGAAAAAAAACTGATTCTCAAAATTGTGCCGAGAAACAAGAAGCAACTTTTTTTTACTTCTTGTTTCTCTTCCAAAACTGTTTCTCGGCACAAATATTTGAAAAAATGTGCCCGGGAACAAAAAGTTTACCAAACGCATTTCTGTTCCCAAACTATTTCTGGGAACAAAAGAACATAAATTTTCACTGTTTGGCACTTTACCAAACAGGCCTTTAAAAAACTAGAGGTATGAAAGCGGACATGAGATGAAAAGTGAAATATGTTTTTGTGATTCTACCATAATATTCTCCTTTTTTATGTTTTCTTTTGAATGGTTAATACATCACGTTATCAAATACAAATTACAGGTGCTTTAACATATGATTAGTTTTTATTTTTATTTTAAAGTCATTGGTACCCATGGTTCATGAAACTTTATATAGAAAGATTCGAAAGAAAAACAACATAAGGGAAAGTTTATAAGGTTTCTATAAATTGGTTCATAGAGGTTAAAAAAAGGAGTTTTGAAAGATTTAAAATGGGTTCCAAATGTATGGCTTTGAAACTTGCACACGGTAGTGTCACAAAACGTACAATGCAATAATTCATCGTAATAATCGGTCTAAAATTTAGTGGTGACCAGGTGATGGGATGGAGAAAGTACATGACAACATGACACCTTCATCCGAGTTCGAGAATCAAACGGTGTACTGCCTGGTATGATAAGATCAAAGCAATGTTAAGATAATGTTCTAAACAAACGGGTCCACAAAAACTTAATTTTTAGTGTCATTGATGATAGCTTAGACAACCGACCAGTCCATTTTTCTAAGAGTCAACCCACGACCCACAAGTTTCGGCTAGTCCCAGAGTCCTGCGCATCTATTATATGGTAGAAAGCAGACAGGAAATTCCCATGGAGTTTTGTCTACAGAAGCAAGAAAAGGCTGAAAACGCCGGTCCGAAGAATTCGTCAAGGAGGATATTTTTTGAGCTTTGGATTGGTCAAGTTGGAATAAGTATTCTCTAAAAATAACCCATTCTCCCTCTGACTTTCCTTGATTCAAATTGCTTCGACGAAGCCGTTTGTTCTTCACCTTTCAGCAACGCTATGGTTATAAAACATGAACAGAATTGAGAGAGAGCCATGAAGAAAGTCGTGCCGCCGTATTCTTCTAATTGGGCGATTGGAACGACGTGAAATCTAATTGAAGTCAGGGGCTGCGTTTGCAGCAGAGGTCGTGAGAAGACGAAAACCAAGCCACCCGCTGCTGCCCCCCGCTCGGTGGCCCATTCATCATTCCAGATCTGCCAAAGAGAGAGGAGTCAATAGAGACGGCGGCATGGCCACGATTGTTCACGGCACTGGCCGTGGCGGTGGCGGTGCTAGCGGCGGTTGCGGCAGAGGAACTGGTGGTTGCGGAGGGTGCGGCGGATGTGGTGGCTGAATCTTTCCGTTTGTCGCCGTAACCGACAAGAGGAAGTATAATTCTATTTGCATCACATTTGACCGCCTCAATTATTTCCCTACTTTTGTACTCGGAAGTGAGAAAACTATTATATAACTTTAGACCACATAGATCAAACTCATCTGATCCACATGAATAATAATTCATATGTTTCTGGCCCGTATGATTTATGGATTATGCAAAAACTTATTGAAACTTCATTGATTGCTTCCACGTTTTATGTCACTTGAAGTGAATCTAAAAAAGAAAAACTAAATATGTTCATCCAACAAATTGGGCATGGAATTTGGCTTTGTCATCACTTAATACCTTCTTTCTAGGTTTTATAATCCGTCATTCGGGCCTGATGATACCCAGAGCTGGTCTTTAATAAAACAAAATCTCTCAAAACTTTCAACTTGGTATGGTTTTATGGTCTATTTAGGAATGAATTCTTGGATTGTAATGGATCGCAATTCCTCTTTTCGCATTCACATACAAAAGATCCGCTCCCCAAGAATACTTAAAATTACCATTTAGCATGAAACTTTTATCGGACATTCGATGAAGGTTCATGAAGTGAGGAGATTGTTTGTGTTGGTCGCTCCTCGCTTGGAGTGCGACCCACATATCTTAAACAGGAAAGGAAAGAAAAGAAGGTAAAAGATTGGTAGCTGATGCTCTTGAAGTGGCGAAAGCCACGTTGCTCACCAAGTTGGTCAAAGTATGGCACACTCATGCGGCCCGCGCAAGAGAAAAGGCAAGAGTTGAGAGACAGCAGAGCAAAACTGGACGGACAGAAGCCATTTTGAGAGAAAAGTGAGCTCGTGCGAAGGAAAAAAAAGCGAGAGGAAGAGAAGGAAAACGGAAGAACCGCGAATGTGTGGCCCTGTCCATCAAGAATCGGCTTGCGATTTCAATGACGAAATTCTAGTATGTTGTCCATGGCGATGTGTGCTACATGTTGACCGGCGCCTATCATTAGGAAACCTCTTCATCCATGCATTTTCGACATTCTCGCTCGGTGAGATCTCATCACGCTTTTCTCTATATTATTGCAATCCACCTAGACATGATGAACTTATTGTTGCTGTGTTCTACGACAGTTATCTTGATGATATGCTGTGTTGTGTAACCACCAGTGGGACTGGAGAAGGACTGCTGTAATCTTGCTCTGCATCGAGGAAAAGTTTTTCGCGAGCTTTGTGGTTTTCCTCTAGTTGCGGTATGCACGTTAAAGTTTCGTTTGCCCATTTTGCATTGTCTGGTTGTCTGTTGCATTATAGTAATGCTTGTTGTGCTCATTTAATCACACAAGGAGGAGCGAAGAAATTTGCTGGTGTTAAATAATTTCCGTTGTGCATGGTGTGACGCAGTTACTAGAAGGTCTTTCCCCTCTTGCCCAGGGATCATCCTCCGCCCTCGTCGGATTGGGTCGTCACAATTTCAGAATGTTCAATTTGAATCATAACTACTCAATCACTTGTAGATATATGAGCCTATCGCCGTAATTCCATTGGCGTGCCATAAGTTAGGAGGCTTCTCCACATGAGGTAGTAAATGCCAAAGACATAAGCTGGTCAGAGCTTTTTTTACGACATGACTTGAATTTGTGATTTCAGGGGAGACATTTTGGCTCCTTTAGAGTTTGGGGAAGATTCTATATCTAACATGCTATCATCTTACGGTACATATTCATGTCCCTGGGATATATTCAAATTCCACTTACTCTATTTCTTAATTTAAACGAAGAATAGTGGCAGCCATTTTTTTGCGAAGTCAAACAAGAAAAAGTCTATCCTCTTTACACATCTATAAATACATTATGTGTTACCTCTCTCGGAAGCAAAAGCCCCCGTTGTTGCAGACGGATTCGAGGACAAATAAATCTTAGAGTCTGCTGCTATTTCGAACTTCTCCTTCAAGCAATTCCACATTACATGTACTATATATAAAGAGAGGGGAGGAGGGAAGGATTTCCTTTTTCTTAGTATTGGGTCACCCCCTTAGGCAAATCTAGTGGCAAGTTTGACCAATAGACATGTCATATGAGTGGGTCGAGTCGGGTCGAGTCGGATCGAGTTTGGGTGGGTCAAAAATGATCCGATCAAAATTGACTTATTTAAACTCATATATTTAACGAAATACAAATTTAACGAATCATACCTAGCCAGACCCAGACCCAATTTACACCCAATAGAACCCAGGCTCCAATTTTAGTAATTTTTCGTCTTAAATATGAAAAGTAGCTTATTGAAATTTGTTTAACCAAATTAAAATAATTAACAAATTTGAAATTACAAAACTTTGACGGATCAAACTACTCACGTGATTAAGTATACATTGTTTTTGTCGCGACGTCACCTCCCGCGGTGCATCACCAAGGGGTTCGGCTAATGGATTATTAAGTCTAGGCCTAACTCGGGCCTCCCAAGCCCTTACCAATTCGCGACTTAAGGTTTAAGTTCTTAACATGCAAATCATTTCAATTAGGAGTCGCCACTAATCTATTTTTTGGTGGGTCGATTAGAAACCCAAGTAAAGTATCGGGAGAATTACTTTACTCCTACGAACCGAGATTATGGATTCGAGGACTTGGTTACACTAGATTACTCTAATGCCATTTCGGTATCTTTTCTATTTTATTTCAAAAAAAATATTTGCAGGCAACTTGGATTGATTTTAAATCTATCTACTAACATGCGAGGTGATCATGCAGGTGCGCACTTATTAATGAAACACCCAATAAAGCAAAGCAATAAATAAATCGCAAGGACGGGAAGAACATACTCACCTTGGAGCAACGAAAGCATCTGCAATGCTAGTTAGAAAATCACATCAACAACCTTAATATGATTTCTAATTAACACGTAATTCCACTCAATGCATTTTTTGGAATTTTCTCTTATTTAGTGGAAATTAAACTATATGCAATGCATACTACTAATCTAACATGACACGCGACATACGATTTACGTAAATGTCCTAACTCTAATGATGATTAAAAGGACTATCTCTAATATGGCACGCAATGAACCTAGACATGAATTTCTAATGACGAGCAAAATTAATATGTAACTATTCTAGCATGACGCACAATTTCATGAACCAAACATGCAATAATGACATGCAAACAATGACACATGGCAAGTTATGAATGACATGACAAGATGACATGCAAGCATGATGCAATCTAAACTATATGACACGCAGATGATATTTTTTGTAATTTTCTATGAAATTCGAAATTAATTAAATTCTCCAACATGCAATCTACCTTTAAAATCATCTACTTCAATAATATCTAATCTGTTTGGATTTTTTTATATGGAAAGACAATCAATTCAAATCAAACAAAGATAGAAAGAAATCATATCCACATCAAACATGGCATCAAATCACACAATATATTATCAATATCCATATAGTTTTGGAAATAGATTGACGAATCGTATCCTGGGCACGAGGATTGGATTGACCAATTTTTGTAGAATCGCGAATCATATCTCGGGCGGAAAATCGGATTGACGATTTTCCGTGCAATCGCGAATCATATCTCGGGCGGGAGATCGGATTGACGACCATAGCACATTATGAAATTAGGAAATAATTCCTAATTTAAATCTACCTGAGGATTTCATGGATATGAATAATATTCGAAAATTCAAACAATACTGCAATTTCACAAATTAGGCAACAAAATATACGAAAATCGAATTAATGAAGATTCTTTCATAATTCGCAATATCACTTGGATAGCGTTTCCAAATTCCAACTTGATGGGATGGCCCGGATTGCTGTAGCCGACAGTGGTGTTCGCGGTGGTGCTCGATGATCACTGACCAGCTTCACAAATCCTGCAAAGATAGAAGACCAAGGCTCTGCCCCTACTGCTGGTATGGCTTGGGTTGAGAGCAGATCACCGGTGGGGTCTTGGGTCGCAGCCAGAGGGGAACACCACCATTAGGTCAGAGAAAACAGCAACGGGGTCGATCGGTGCAGGGCTCACTTCGACCAGGAACTAGCTCGGATTGGTGCAGGTGGCTCGGGACAGCAGGGACGGCACAGATCGGCGTTGACAGGGCTGGTGGGACAACGGCACGGCAACAGCACAGCAGCTACGACGGTGTCGTGAAAGAACAAAGAAGAGAAATCAAGCACGGTGGTGATGCTGTCCGCGAAAGGCACAAGGCGACGCTGTCCGAGGAAACCAGGAGTCGACGAGAGAGAACTCCAAGGATTGTCTCTCGATATTGCTACGTTCGAAGTGTGGGGGGTCTCACATTGGCGTTTTGCGTGATGTGGAGAACATGCGTTGAGCCAGTGAAGTGTCACTTGAGAAGAGACTTTCTCCTCCCTCTCCCTTTTGTCTTTTCTCTGGCTTTTTTCTCTTCTTCACGTTCTCTCTGAACGTGTCTCTCGATTGTGGCCGTGGATTTCAATTTTGTGGCCTTCCCCCCTTGTCTTGTGAAAGAGCCCCTCTACTTGTATTCTCTTTTCTAGTATCCGCCAATATTCTAGATATCGTGGGGCCACCTTCAAGAATATCACAGTTTCCTTCTTTCCTTTTGCTTATTTCCCTATTGGACCGTGCATATATACACGCCCAAATACTCCCCTCTTGGCCGAATCTCTTTCTTCCTTTCCTTCAATGTTGACCGAATTTTCCCAAAATCCACAGAATTGATTTAACCATGTACGCACATATACTCGAAAGATTATCTCTGATTTTTTATCGGCCATGCGATATCTAAATCTTGATAATTTAATATCTTTATTGTCTCGAATTTTTATCAGATTTTCCTGACTTGACGCACGTGATTTTAGCCACCGCGGGCTTAGTCCCTTGAAGCTCAAACCATTCACTCGAGTTCATCTCGCCACGGTTCAATGCAAATGCGACTATATGAGCCTAAATACTAATTCAAATGCTCCTAATCTATATGCAATTTAACTAATTTTTTTATCTAGGGACCGGGATCGATCCCTAATTTTTTATGAACGAACGACTAACTGGATCGCCAAAATTTAGGTGTTAACAGTTTTTAACGAAACTTTAACATTTTGTGCTAATTAACAAATTTGAAATTACAAAAATTTGACGGATCAAACTACTCATGTGATTAAGTAAGCATTGTTCATGATCCATTTTGTCACCTCTAATGATAAGTCATGGGATGGCGCAAGAACATGACAAGAAGACACCTTCATCCAAGTTGGAGATCTAACGGCTATTCTGCGGGGAATGATCGAGGCAATGTTTAAATAACCTAAACTAACGAGTCCACAAAAATTAATTTTAGTGTAATTGGTGATGGGTTGGACAACGAACCTGTATGTCTTTTTCCTTCTAGTCGAGCATAAATGGACGCGAAGCATCCTCACCGATCTGTTGACCAAGCCAAACAATGGAATGGATATTCCGATGGAAATTCTGTGGAAATAGCCCAAACATTCCTTAATCCAAATAGCTTCCTCAAAGCCAGTGGTTCGTCATCTTTCAGCGACTCGACGACTATAAGCAAGAAAAGCATCGAGAGGGAGCCGTGGAGATACTCGCGCCACCGTTTTCTTCTTGTTGAAAATTGGAACCACGTGAAACTCAAGTAGAGTCATGGGCTGTTTTTGCAGTAGAGGTCGCGAGAAGGCGAAAGCCGAGCTGCCCACTGCGATCCCCGCTCAACCACCCATTTATGAGGCCGGATCTGCCAAGAAGAGTGGCATCGGCAGAGACGGCGGCATGGCTATTCTTGCTGGTGCAGGCGCTGCCGTAGTGGCCACCGCTGCAGTGGCCACGGTTTTGGACAGTACTGATGGTGGCGGAGGCGGCGGTACAGATGAAGGAGCTTCTCGTAATGGAGGAGGTTGCTGTCGATGGTGCGGCGGCGGAGGGTGTGGGGTAGGGGGCACGGGGGGAGGGTGCGGGGGAGGAGGATGCGGCGGCGGTTGCGGGGGTTGAACGTCTCTGTTTGTTGCCGTAAACGATACATGTATTTTATGCTTTCATGCTGGACAGATAAGCATGCAACGAGTGGTCTATATTATTTGTAGAATATGCAATAACTTATCCGGTTATCTTGAAGTTTTATGCTGTATCAAATATACCTGGAAAAAAAAAAATTTGTTCATGTTCATGCAATGGATTAGGGATGAGCTTTGACTTTTTGGCCTCTGATACCTTCTTCTTTTGAGGTTCTATAGTCTGTCATTCGGGCCTAATGTTATAGAGAGCTAAACTTTAATAAAACAAAATCTCTTTCAATTTTTAACTTGGGGCAGTTTTATGATTCGTCGAGAAACGGATTCTTGAATCGTATGGGCCGTAATTTCTCCTTTTTCTATTCATCTACAAAATATTATAACACACAAAATAGTATGCTGCTCGTGGCGATGACTGGCACCAATTGTTGGAAAGCCTCTTCCATTGGCCCATTCGTGACATTCTCGCTCGTTGAGATCCGGCCGTACTTTTCTCTGTATTATTGTAATCAGCCTAGTCGTGATGAGCTTATTGTCGCTGCGATTCAAGATAGCTATCTTTGATGATAACCTTGTGTAACCTCTAATGGGACCATACAAGGCTTGTTGTAATCCTGCTCTGCATAGTGGAAGTTTTTGACTGAGTCTGGTCCGTGGTGGTTTTTCCCTGTTGTGGTTTGCCCGTTAAAATCTTGGGCGTCCCATTCTATATTGTCCCATCTTCCATTACATTATAGTAATGCTTATTTTGCTCATTTAATCACACAAAGATGGGAGGGAAAGGATCTAATTGCACGATAAAGAGAATCAGAGACATGCTAGAACATTTTACAAGACTTTAGGGATTAGTAGTGCCTTTATCTCAAATTTTAATATCGTTATCATTATTTAGTTGCGCCGGTAAGCTTCAAATTCCAGAATGATGTTTTTACTAGCTAGTCTGACGAACATCCTGGTGGAACACTCGGGTAAGTTATGTTGAAAAAGTTCGGTATGCCCAGGTCTGACATGTTATATTTATAATGTGATCCCACATTTAGGGATATAGTTTTTGAAATTAAAACTTATCCATTGGGTTTGACCCACGTTTTCTCTTTTAAGTGACGGTTATCCACATGCGGTTTTTCCACTGTTCGTACCCCTTCGGTGACAACCGCCCTCTTCGGTAACCGCCTTGATGGGAAGCGGTTTATAAAGATGAACGTTCATTCTATAAGGGTAGACACAAGGTCTAACGCAAACCCTCTCATTCGGTAATACACCATCAGTATGCGAGGGGATTGGGTTAGTAAAGTGCGCCCGTAATCGCTGTCAAATTAACGTCGAACTACCGTGGATTTCCAAGGAACGTAAAGTTGAACAATGGCTGGAGGTCAGTTTATTTTTGATCCTGTTTTCCGCATTTGATTCTAATTGTGCTTGAATTTTGTTCTTCTATGCATGATTAGAATCCTTCAGTTTTAGTCTCACATTTGGTATCAGAGCATGATTAGTGCCTCTGCCTTGTTCTTGTTGAATTTTTGGTGTATTTTTCGGGGCTTTTTGAGATGAATAGTAATTCGGCATTTTGGGGCTAAGAGGGAAATCGCCGATTCCGGCCAAATTCCGGCGACCCACCGCTCGACTTCGGACCGGCACGGTCGCACCGCCATGGAGAAGAATAGCCCTAAGTTAATCTGGCATATCGGTAATCGCCGGAGGCTGTTTGAGCGGCGGAAGTTGCGGGTTAGGGTTTGTGCGTTTTGACGGAATTTTGCTTGATTCGAGCCAATTTCTTGGTTGTTTTCGCCGAATTTTGGGTCCATGTGGTCGTGCCGACGTGGTCTCCGAAACCCATGAATTATTTTTGGTGTAATATGGGTTACCGGAGGAGACCCATTCGGTCGAAGGTGCGGCGGAACGGCGAAGAACGTCGAAAAATGGCTTCTGTTCGCGCGGAGGAAGAAGGCGCGTGGCCCCACGCGCGCGCAACCGCTGGCGCGTGGTCTCCACGCGCGCAACCGCAGCGCGTGCGGCCCATGGCGCCGCTGGGCAGCGGTGCGGGTGCGCCGCACGCGCCCGCGCGGTAAAGAAGGCGCGTGCGCGCCACGCGCCCGCGCATAGGGCGGCGCGCGTGCCGCGCACGCGCCCGGGAACCGCACCACCCTTTATTTTTACTCTTCTGCCCCCGCTTTTTACCCGTTATTACGATTATGCCCCTTGCCGAATTAAGTTTATTGTTTTGTCCCTCATGCATTTTATGAGTATTTTTTATGCATGAAATTAAATGTCCAGTGATCCATATATTTTAATTAATTGGGAAGTAGCCACAACATCTTTAATTAATTAAATTATATATTAAGAGCATTCGGATCACATTTGAAAATGGACATTGATTGTAATTAATCTTATTAATATGATGAATTTAATTCCACAGGAATTTTCATTATATTAATTTGATTAATTAGGTTGAAATATCATATTATTTTCTTAATTTACCCACAGGGATTAAGGAAAGGAATATAATATGATAGTTTCTTCAAGAAAAATTTATGAATCTATTTAAATTAAAAACTTAGCCCACATGCAGTTTTTATGTTATGTGATTCATATTTTGTGACATGTCTTACATTGGTAGAACATGATATATGTTGATTTTGCCTCAAATTTTGTGACATAAGTATGATTATTTGATATGTAGTTTTGCAACCTGTGAATTTCTCTGAATTTAAGAGTGATGTTCCCATACTGAATGGTGAAAACTATAAAGTTTGGAAGGAGTCAATTCTTCTTCAATTGGGGTGCATGGACATTGACTATGCTATAAGGAAAGACGAACCACTCGCTTCCCACCGACACGAGCACTGCAATGAGATAGCCCTTTATGAACAAAGTGGGAGCGGTCCAACCGCCTTAGTGTGATGTTCATAAGGACTAAAGTATCTCCTAGTATCCGTGGTTCGGTCGCTCAAGATAGCAATGCTAAGGCTTTATTGGAGGCCATTGATGCGCAGTTTGAGACTTCAGAAAAGGCGCATGCCATGACCCTGATAATGAAGTTTTCATCTCTAAAGCTCACAAGTGTTAGAGGTGTGTGTGAGCACATCATGAAGATGAGGGACATTGCAGCTCAGCTGAAAAATCTTGAGGTTGAGATATCTGAATCATTTCTTGTGTACTACATTCTGAACACTCTCCCACAACAGTATGCACCTTTCAAGATCTTCTACAACACACATAAAAATAAATGGTCAATTAATGAACTCATGACCATGTGTGTTCAAGAGGAAGAGAGGCTGATTATGGAATTGGGAGAAAGTGCTCATTTGGCAACACAAGAAAGGAATAAGGGTCATGGCAAGCAGAAGGGGAAAGGTAAAATACCTCCCCAAGCTGACATTAAGAAGGAATCCAAATGTTTCTTCTGTTGAAAGAAGGGGCATATGAAGAAGGATTGCGTCAGATTTAAGGCCTGGCTCGAGAAGAAAGGTAATCCAACCTCTTATGTTTGTTATGAATCTAATATGACTTATGTGAGTCACAACACTTGGTGGATTGATTCTGGTTCTACAATCCATATTTCAAATTCCTTACAGGGTTTTCAAAACCACAGGAAGCCAGTGGGAAGTGAACAAAGCATCTATTCGGGAAATAAGATGCGTTCGCATGTAGAAGCTATTGAGACATATGGATTAGTTCTCAATAGTGGCTTTGTTTTGGATTTGGAAAGGACCTTTTATGTTCCAAGTTTCTCTAGAAACTTAATTTCAGTTTCAAGACTTGTACCTTTGGGTTACTCTTTTAACTTTTCAGATTCAAACTTCAGTTTATTGTTTAAATCTGAAATTGTTGGAAGTGGTATTTTGTCTGATGGTCTTTTTCGAATTAATTTACAAGACAATGCCTATTATAATGCGATGCATGTTCATGATAATTCTGGTATGAAACGATGTGTTGTGAATGAAGATTCCTCTATGTTGTGGCACCGGAGATTGGGACATATCTCCATAGATAGAATTAAGCGATTAGTAAATGATGGAGTACTCGGTACTTTGGATTTTACTGATTATGATATTTGCGTGGATTGCATAAAGGGAAAGCAGACCAACAAGACAAAGAAAGGTGCCAAGAGGAGTACAGACATATTAGAAATCATACATACTGACATTTGTAGTCCTGATATGGACTCGTATGGTCAGAAGTACTTCATCTCCTTCATTGATGATTACTCACGTTACATGTATCTCTACTTGCTTCATAATAAGCATGAAGCGTTGGATGCCTTTAAGGTTTTTAAGGCGGAAGTAGAGAAACAATGCGGCAAGCAAATTAAGATCGTGAGATCAGATAGAGGCGGAGAATTTTATGGTAGATATACTGAAGATGGACAAGCACCTGGTCCGTTTGTAAAGTTTCTTCAAGAGAATGGGATAGTTGCCCAATACACTATGCCAGGTTCTCCGGACCAAAATGACGTAGCAAAAAGAAGAAACCGAACTTTATTGGACATGGTGCGGAGTATGCTTAGTAGCTCCAAACTTCCTAAGTCCTTGTGGACTGAAGCTCTTAAGACGGCAGTGTACATATTAAATCGAGTTCCAACCAAGGCTGTCCCAAAGACGCCTTTTGAGTTATTCAAAGGTTGGAAGCCAAGTTTGCGACATGTACGCGTTTGGGGATGCCCGTCTGAAGTAAGAGTCTATAATCCACAGGAAAGGAAGTTGGACCCAAGGACTGTAAGTGGATATTTTATTGGATATGCCGAAAAGTCCAAGGGATACAGGTTTTATTGTCCATCTCACACTACTAGGATTGTGGAATCAAGAAATGCTAAGTTTCTTGAAAGTGACTTGATTAGTGGGAGTGATCGATTGAAGGACATTGTTCCTGAGAAAGATCATTCAGATACTCAACCTTCCACTTCAAGTATTAGGTTGGTTGTTGTTCATAACGCCCCTTCAGTTCAGCCGGCTATTGAACAACCAACTATTGAAGTTTCAC